CTGCCATGGCGGGTGCACTTGGGGAATGGAAGGATAAGCTCGTTTCATCTTAAAGTTAAGCTATCAGCAGTATCGACATAGATCTACCTACAGTTGGCGAACGGCCTTCGACAACCGTCGCCGCGCACCGTCGAAAGTCGCAGCAACGCGGTGTCGCCTTTCTGGACATGTGTTGTCAATCCACACAATGAACTACCGCGACGAAGGCTCGCAGTCTTGTTTTCGCACCGCCACACTGGGGTTTTGCATTTTCATGCTTTCTGCTGTTGTTGGGTGCGTTGTCCACAAGGCGTCTGCCGTAGCGTCACGGTTGCAGACTAGCCGTCTAGCCTGAAGATGCATTTGCATGGGGATTTTGAGATTTCCGTTGTTAGGGGTGGGGTGCGTTGTCCAAAGACGTCCAGACGGCATCTACGTGGTGGTGCGTATCTTTTTGTAGAGTAGTGTGCTTGGTTGTTGTTGCTAGGTGTGTTGTTCAAACCGGCATCTACACAGGAATTTGTCCTCTGCGCGCTCTTGCCATTGATGTCTGATGGCTTGTTCAACGTTGGTTGAGCAGCGCACCCGCACATCATCATGGTGATGCTTTGCGTACATGTTTGGGTTTGAATCTTTCTGGACGCCAACTAAACAAGGTGGTGCAAGGGCAGGGTTTGAGAATCTGAAGAGGCAGCGCTCCCCAAAATGCAGCGCGCACGTGCAGTCTCCACTCGTCTCTGCGCGTGGATAGCTTCCCCACAAGCATCCCCAGTTTCGCAGTGTGTGAGTCTACTTTTCGCGAATGGGTCGACTTCGCGCGGATCTGGGGAGCAGCCGACTTCACACGGCCTGGGTCGACCTAGCCCAAGGGCCTTGGAGGGTTTTACAGGTTCAAAGCCTTGGGGGTAGTAAGCTTTGATGTTTATACAGTTGTTGAAGGTAATTACTTGGTGGCAAACTGTCGGGTTTGACCGGATGGCACAGGTGTACGCATACGAAGAACTGAGTGACTTCCTGTATGACTTCTGCTTTTAATGTGCTGTGCTGCCAGCTTCAGTTTGGGGAGTTGATGTTTGTGCCATGTGATTTGATTGCTTTGCTATTTGGCGCGTGTGCTGAAATTCCTGCAAATGTGTCATTGTCATTGAAGTCGGCTGTTGCAAAGCGAACACTTGGCAAAAGGACCGGTGGTGCTGCCTTCTGGGCGGTGAGTTTGGCAAATCGAGGTTGCAGTTGGGGTGGTGCATCATCAGGGTGGGAACTTTGCAATAGCATTTGTGACCCATCTGATCTGCGGTCAGACCGAGGACAAAACTCTGATCTGCAAGTTCTGGCTGAAGAATCGCTGCGATCGGAGCAACTGCAAATATGCGCACGGAGAGGACGTTGACCAGACAACTGCCAATTGAACTGCAAACCGTGGAAAGTCTTCCAGAACCCTTTAATCCCGACCACGCCGGCACCGCGATCAGTCCGCAAGGAGGAAAAGAGACGAGCCTGCAAAGCCATCATGTGCTTATTCGAGGCCATGGGGCGCACTTGGGGGTTGCCTCAAAAAGGAAGGCGAAAGAAGCGCAAAGTGCCAACGCGAAGGCCAGCGGTGGTTGCCGGCTTGGTGCCGAATGCCTCTATGCGTCTCTTGCCCTTAATTCCTCATCCGAGTTGCTCTTGGCAGCTCCTGGCAGTTCCCAGAGGCATTCCTGGGAGCGTCTTCCCAGAGAGGTCGCTCAGGAGAAGAGCCGAGGCGGCGCTTTTACGAGCCTGAGCCAAAACAGGCCAGGGTGAGTCCCAGTCTCTGCTGCGAGGCGAGGAAAGCGGCGACGAGAGCGAGGCCAAAGGGCCCCAAAGAGCACAGGGCCACGTCCTTTCCTTTCACTGTCACGCTCTTGGGCATCAGGTTGATGACCGTGGAGATGTAACAATGGCCGTCCAAAGCACGTCCGGTGACTCGTTCGATGTTGCGTTATCGAAGTGTGAGTGTGGTCCGTGACATGACACTACTTCATTTCCCTCGCATAGTTGCATTGAGCTTGTTGGATATGTTTGGAGCCGAGGTACCGCCGGGCACAAGGCGGGAAAGGTCCTAGAAAAGAGACGTGAAACGATCGAAAAGCATTGAGGCTGCGGAGTCCATGCCAATAGAAGCGCAGCGCTCCGCCTGCCGGAATCTTGCCGTGAAGTGCCAGATGCATTGCAACTGTAGCTGCTGTATCTGTGAAGTGGTCCATGCATATGACGTTTTTGCCGAATCACATGCCTTACATTACATGTCAATGGGCGGTCCTTTAACAAGAAGATTGCGCGCGTTCGCTGCAATTGCTCCACCGAGGAGAGCCAACAGCCGGCAGCCTTTAGAGACCGGTGGCCGGCAGCTTGAAGCAGACCCATGGCTGCACGAAGACGCAAGCAGCAAGCAGAGTTCTCTGGGCTTTCCACAGTTTTCTGAGCATCTCCCGCTTGTCATGCAGGACCCTTTGAAATCTGCAGAGATTCCTTCACCTCCAGCCTTGTGGGACCCCAGGATAGGCGGCTCCTTGGACCGCACGAGCCGTGCTGTTGATGAGTGTGAGACTACCAGAGACTACCAGTCAGTAAGCTACTCGTAGTAGGTATTGCATGACGGAAATGCTGCGTCACGCTTCTTAGGGGGCATGCTGTACACAAGAACGCGTGCCAGATTTTGATCTGCTGAATGATGTGTCAAGGACTCGGCAGGATGAAAACCTCTCGCCAAAGCTGGGCAGACCTCAACTCGGATTCGGAGGATGAGGACTACGCCCGCGCCTGCCAGAAAGATGGTCTCGGTAACTCCTCCGCTTGAGGATTCCCCATGAACGAGCGCAAGACTTGCGACTTCGCTGCACGGTGAGATCCGTTCAGCGACAGAGAGCCGGAGCGTGCAGCTGAAGTCGCAAAATCTAAGTCCCACGCCGCCAAGTGCCAAGGTTCCTGGCAGCTGGCGGGGGCTTCATGGGCCTGGGGAAGTACAGTTGCGCTGTCGCCAAGTCCCAACACACCGGAGCTGCTCGTACTTGGGGCGGATAGAGCTTCGAAGTTGGGAGGAAGCGACGACGCTTGAATGCCATTGTCACAGACTTCTTGGAAGTGGGCCACCTGTGTCCTTCTGTGGCTCTTGAGATCGGACATTCGCTGAAACATTGCACGGAAAGTATCACAAGTAGCAGCCCATGTAGTCGATATTGAAGAAGAGACATTTGGGAATGGTGCCTGCAAAAGCACGTTTGAATGCTTGGCGGGACAGATTTGAAGCCCTGCCAATAAGGCCTTGTGTGCTGGGGTTGTGAGGTGCATCCGGACAAGTTGGATCAGAAAGAAATGACCACAGAAGATCCTCCAATAGTCTGAGCCTATGCTCAGTCGATCCCAACCTAATGACTGCACAAGCGCCGGCATTCCAATCTAGAGCTCGGCGTGCAGTGATCTTCACGTCAGCTTGAATGTCATCGCGCGCCCAGAACTCCCGATGGCAGACGGCCTTGGACCCTTGTAGTCGTACGTGCAAGTCAGGGACGGATAGTTGGGTGTGGTGCCATCAGGATTACGGTTGCGAAGCATGTTTAAGGCCCATCTCACAAGCCATTGCAGTCGCAAGTGATGCTGCCTTAAGGCCGGTTGTGGAAGACGGCAAGGTTCAGATGGTACATGCAGTGCTACAGTGCTACTCGAATGCTGTTTTCGAAGGACCATGTGTCCACAGGCCGAGGCATGCGTTGCCAGCCCACCGACTGCTCCGGCATTGAGCGGACTTGTCATCCGATAGATCCCCACACAGAGCCACTCTGTAGAGAAGGCCATCCAGAGTCGAACCATTTCTAGGTTCGGGAGTCCTCATGAGTAGACCAGCAAAGAGATAAGGCAATGTGTATGAATGCCTCTCTAAACATGTTTATGTGTATCTTATGACATGTTTGTTGAATGATTTATACTCATACATGAGAAATGCGGCATCAAGTTCGGGGAGTTTGGCTGTGGGGGATCCGTGGCCAAATTTTGTTGGCTGCCCGCTTTTATGCTCGGGTGGCTCGTGACCGGACATTTGTGGTCAGCGCGAGGGGCAAGGCAGGACACCGAACGCCTCGTGGAAATGCCACACCGAGTCACATTGATTGAAGAGACATTTGTGTACACATATTTATCTGGCAGTAAGACAGACTGCTCAAATTGTATCGACTCTTGCGTTATGCTGACAGGTAAGTGCCTCAGCAACTCCAGCGTTGGATGGTAATATGGAGTGTCAGGGCTAGTGACTAGTGCCGACAGAAGACAGGACTGCTGAAAGTTGCAGGCGCTTCTTGCTCTGGATGGGCTAAGAGTCGCAGCCCCAAGAGCGGCAGAAAGGTTGCAGAAGATCTTTTGAGAAGCCTGTGCAGTGGGACCAGGAGATTGCGAATGGTTGCAAGAGCTTAGGGGGACTTCTGGGACCAAAAGCACAGAGAGCCTTGGAACCCGGAAGCCCAGAGCTCGGACGAGTTGGGTCATGACTTGTGGAGCTTCTTAGGGCCTGGGCGGCGGGATGCTTTGCGCACACTTCTTGACATTCTGGCAGAAGGGGCGGCACCCTTAACCAAGCCAGACACTCTCAAAGAACGGTGCCGCCCCGGAAGCTTGGATGAAGCATGGCTTTCCATGTCTTGTGGAATGCATTCGGGTCGTAGCCGACCCCGGGCAGGCGTGTGGAGGGATTCTCCAGTGATGGAAGCCGACAAGCAGCGATTAGGTCCGACAGATGGTATTCACATCCGGCCTGGGAACTGAATGGTCGCGCAAGGGTTGCGCATGGGCCAGTCCGAATCAGGGCCTGCCAACCATTCCAATCCATTTCGCAGATGGACATACCACCTGCCATGTAAACAATCGGAATTATTGCCATAAACCGACGTGCAGAGAGGGAGAAAAGGCTGGCTGAGCCTCACAACATCTCACAACACAGCCTTAAGAAGCGAAGCAAAGCGAAGCAACGGAACATGGCCGAGCCAGGGCCAGGGGCCAGGGCCAAGGCCATGGCCCTGGCGGGCATGGAGCGGACTTTCGGTGCCTTGGCTCTGAAAGCGGGGGTGGGGCGCGTTGCAAATGATGTTGGGGAGGAGGGGGGGAATGCTTGGCCCTCTTGCGAGGTCGATCCCCGACCTTCCTCGTGAATACGGATTGGAAGCTCTTGCAAGTCTTTTATGCCGCTGCACTGGGCGCCACAAGCTGCAATGCGCAGGACCAGCAGCGAAGTAACCTGGATTCCCTGGTTCGGCGTGAGCAGCACTTGGCAGAACAGCCACCCGGCTGCACACCACGTCTTGCGGCTTGCAACGGCGCGTGACACATCTCACGGTCCAAAGCGTGTGTGCGGCCCTCGACAAGGTATCAGAAGAACAAGCCCCTGATGTTTAATGGGATGCTGGGCTGCAGCTGTCAAAGGAATCGGAATCATGCCGCAAACTCCGGCAGAATGGTGTTAAGAGTTGCGCCCTTGTAATAAGCTGGGTTTATGCGGCTCAACAGCGAGTGAAGGTGTGCAGAAGGCACCGATGTCCATGTAAGTGGCATTGTCTTTCCTTTGCTCTGCACTTCGTCCTCTTCAGGAATGCGTATCAAAAGACGCATCCTCAGAAGGCCCGGGTGGGATTTGGGGGAATCCGACCTTCCTCGAAAGCGCTGGTCTGCGGTGGTCTGCGGCAAGAACAGAGAGGGGGGAGCAACAAAAAGCCCGGCAGTGGTTCAGGACTCATTTTTGCCTCGCATGTTGCAGGCCATTGCACCTGGACATCGAGATGCCGATGCCACGGTGGCGAAAGCCTTAGTCCAAGCCGTTGCCTTGAGTGAGCTGCACGCGTGTCCGGAGAGGTTTCTCCAATGCTACTCGGTTGTGCAGACGGCGTGTCTCAGATCGAGGCTTCGCAAATTCCACTGCTTTTCAGACCTTTGTGGTTGCCCTGCGTTTTGAATCGTCAGGAGTTTGGACTAGATGCATCAGAGCTTCCGCGAGAGCTTCTGGCAGCCTGCGAGGCTGAGTTCTGTCAAAATCCCCTCGGAGCCTCGGAGCCTCGGCCGCGCCTCGGCCAGGAGCAAGCCACTGCCTTGCTCATGCCGGATCAAGCCGGGCTCAGAAGCTCGAAACTTGACCCGACCGTGCCGTGTCGTGCGGGGGTCCCCTTGAGGCTGGGAAGATCTCAGAGCTCTACAGAGGGCCTATTCCTTTGATGCGCGAGGCCAGGGCCTTCAGAAGCTGCGAGGATTCCGAATTTGTCCATGCTCGGGCCAGGCCTTCCAGAACACCGAGAGCATGGGCTCCACCACGGTGTGCCTGGCACTCAGGTCGCGTTGGAGAGGGGCTCAGTTCGTTACTGTATGCAGACTGCAACATCTGCAGCTTTGTGATTCGTAGTGACAACTCAGCCTCAGTTTGGGATCGCAGTATAAGTATGGCAAGATCACTGTGAACTCACGCTGCCGTCAGCCGGCCATGCAGCTTCTGAAGTGCATGACCTACGAAGCGACTCGGCTCGGTCCAGCATAGCATGGCGCTTAGGGCGCTTGCTTGTAGCGCTTTTAGGCTCAGAAGCGAGAAGACGAAGACACCGACTTACTTGGCAGGCCCCTCGCTGGGCTGGGTCCTTGCGAGTGCCGGACTGGCGACTTCCCTTGGGAAATTTGCCGACACCGCTGTGCCTCAGCAAGCATCTGTTTTCCAGTGATCTTCGGTTATCTTCGGTTCAGTTCCGTTGCCGGTAAGTTCGTATGCTGGCTTTCCATCTCTCCCATTCAGGATGCCTTGGGCGTGCCCCGCTCTGCGCGACTTGAACGTGAAGCCCAGACCGCAATCTGAGAAGACGGCTTGTGTAGTGCCACAGTACATTTGCAGGTTACGACCCGTGCCCGAGATCCTTCGGTTCTGTAGATCGCCCAGGAAGTGGTCCATCAAGCGCGATGACATGACTGGACTCGAGCTCACCGGGAACAAGGTCTGATCTTCGTAGAAATTTCAGGTAAATCATCTTCGTATGTTCTTTCACAGGGTCGCATGTCCCCACCCGTGAGACGCGGAAGCTGGAGTTTCTCATCGCGGAGGCTTTGGCAGGCAACCACGACTCGGTGGTGACAGTTGGTGGGCTCCAGTCAAACCACTGCCGTGCCACGGCGGTGGCAGCCAGAATTGCGGGCTTGGAGCCCCACTTGGTCCTCCTGGTCAAGGACACCGTAGCCGATGAAGATCCAGGCAGGATTTCATAGGATTTCGGTAGAAGGCTTTTTGCTCTCCTCTTTGACTGCTGCAGGTATGGAGGGCAACCTGCTGATCGGCCGGCTCATGGGGGCGAAGATTCACCTGTGCACGGCGTCCGAGTACTACAAGCTCGGAGGGAACTTGGAAGCCGCCGACACGCTGAACGAAAGGATGGCGGAGCGTCTTCGGGCACAGGGCCACCGGCCCTACGTGATCCCTGTGGGGGGGACCACGCCTCTGGGCACCTGGGGGTATCTCCAGGCTGTTCAGGAGCTGCGAGAGCAGATCGAGCTTTGGGGAGCTTCCTTCGATCATGTGGTGGTGGCTGCGGGTTCTGGGGGCACTTTGGCCGGCTTGGCGGTGGGCTTCCACAAGGCGAAACTCGACCTCAAACTACATGGCGTGAACATACAGCACAGCCCAAACGCCTACTACGACCTCGTGGCCAAAGAGGCAGCCGCTCTTGGCTGTACGGCTGAGGAGGTTGATGGAGTTCTGGGCACTCTGAACATCCACAATGGAGCGGGCCTTGGATATGCTGTGCCCGCAGCCGAGAACTTAGCCTTCATTGCGGAGGTCGCAGCCGCCTCCGGCGTGGTTTTGGATCATGTTTACTCGGGCAAGGCCCTCTACCACTTCTGCGCCGCACGGCAGCAGGCAGCAAAAGCCCACAGGCCACATTTTCTTGCGGTTTTATTTCATGTCAGAAGGACAAAAAGCTTTTTCCTGCATGCCTGAGCTACGCATTATGAGCTTCTTCCGTCCAGGAACATGCCAGAGCACACCCGAACAAGTTCAGAAACTCGCGCATTCTCTTTTGGCACACTGGTGGCATCTTCGGACTTGAGCCCCAGCAGGCAGCCATGCAAGGTCTGCTCCCAAAGGACAGCGTGCAGCGAGCGCGGCTGTAGCTATCGCGTTGAGTCAGCACTTGGCAGTGGCGAATCGATCACGCAAGCCGACTTTGGCATCTGCGATCTCAAGGACGGGAAGGTCCGAAACATGGACCGACGTTCGGCGTGAAAGATCCGCTGGCGCTGGATTGCCCTGAGCCTTGGCGTCACCTGGCATCGCAGATCCCGAGGGCAGGGGATGAAGAACCTTCAGAAGGCGAGAAGACGGGCCCAGACGGCCCGAAGCCGAATTCAGTTGGAGCTTGTGGTGACATGTGGCGACGTAGACTATGTAGATGTAGCAGAGTAGCATTCTCTTCGGATCCATGCTGCCGGCATCGAGATCCGTTCACGAACACCTGCACAGACGCGCCGACGAAGTGAAGGCTGCAGCGGCTGCAAGACAGAGAAAACGGCGCCGTCATGATCAGCATGCATATGTTGTCGGCAGCATGGGGCGTACATGCCGAGAGATTGAACCTTCGAAGCCTGCCTAGACCACTTGCGTGCTGGCACTGAAGGTCTCTCCGTGCTGGACAACAGTACCAGAATCCACGGCAAGCTCCACCCCATGATGGCCATCATCTCCATAGGTCTGACAGTTCCAAAAGATTCTCGTAAGTCTTTCGGAATCAGAACCTGCGCTTACTGCAGGCGACTGTGAGCTGATGGTTCTCCGCCAGAACATGGCGAGTGGCCGACTTCGGCAGAAGCCTCAGACGGGGCTTCCTCTTGTGGCAGAGGGCGAGCGAGGGGCCAACGCAGGTACGAAACGGTGTTCAATACGGAAATGCAGCGCATCGGCGGGAACTGCCAGTGTCCGCTCCAGGCGAATTTGGCAATGTTGCAGCGACCGCACAGTGCTGTAGTGTGCTGCAGGTCTGCCGAGTTGATGGCAGAATTGATGCCGCTTTCGACGAGCGGATGACCATCGAGGCCGGCCTCAACTCGATCGCTGCCGAAGCACAGAAAAGTTGTGTTGTCAAACGCTAGGTCATCGAGAGAGGAAGTGCCGTTCACATGGCTGCGGCCTGATTTCAAATCCCAGAAAGTGTCAGGTCCACTGTTCGCAGGGATCGGGATGCCAGTGATGTGTGCTGCGCTGCAGGTCTCCGTGTACGAGGCACTGAGCCAAGTCCAAGTAGTTAGCGACTGAACCCTGGCACTGCCCTGACCTTGCCTCCCGCGCGGCTTTCGGATGGCAGGGTGACTTGGTGGTCATTGGCAGCGACGGAGTCTTTGACAATCTCTTTAAGGACGAGGCCTGGCTGGGTGTACCGGAATTGCCGATGTGAGTCGTGTGGGATAGGTCATGTTGAATCGAAGGTCGCCGCGATCATCAACCAACTGATTCCCAGACCTTCCACTCCCGGCGAGAAGTCCCTGACTCAGGGATCAAGCGTTTGTCTTTGCCCTCGTCACGTCGTCGCCCAGCTTGCTTCAATTCGTGGGGTCAGTGTGCTTCTATCCTTCGACTTCTTGGAGGTTCCGGCCCTTGGACAAGGCTTTCATGGGAGAGGCGCCTCATCCCGGAGAATTTGCGTGGCAGCTCGGCATTCTAGACGCCCAGGTGGCAAGGTACATCGTGGATGCCTGCCACATGAAGACCAAGGCGGCTTTCAGTCGTTGGCCGGTCGCCGGTCGTCCGCCGCGTGACGCGTGCCTCGCGCGACCAGGCCGACCTGCGGACCGGCAAGTATCCCGACACGCCGATCGGCGAGGATCTGAGTTTCCCAACTGGTTTCGACCTGGGACGACGGAAAGCTGGGATCTGCATGAAGCCACAAGGTAAGGGCGGGAAGCGCGACGACACGTGCTGTGTGGTTGGCGAAGTGGTCGAGTGGACGGAGGCTCTCGGTCTCCCAACTTCAAACAGCCTCAGACGTGCACTCCAGCAAACCTGTCAGATGGACTGCATGTACTGGGAGGGCGTCCAGCGGCGGAGAAGAATGAAGGACAGAAGCTGGACCTGGACCTTGCACTGCCTTCCAAACTGCGCAACCTTGGCCAGGAGCTGGTGACCTGCGGTGGGGCTGGCAGCCTAGAAACGGCAATTGAAGGAAGCAGGGACGGCGAGTAAGGCGTAAGGGAGCCTTTCAGGTGCTGAGCCTGGGGATGATGTGCATAGACGAAGATGAAGAGGACGAGGACCGGCCTTTCGACCACTCAAAGCCATGTGTGCGTCCGAAACATGCAGCTTGAGGAAGATGATGACAGCAACTGGTGTCGGTCACGTGATGCACGGGTCCCCGGAGCCACAGAAAGCAGAGCGGCAGCGGCAGCCAGTCCCGACGCCAAGGGACGGGACTTCTCCACCGTATCCTTCGTCTCAGAGGAGGCACGGCGCTACCCCTTGTTCTGCACTCGCCATCCCCCCGATCTTCAACATGGCGCCCTGGCGCAGGAGGAGGATAGGGCTCGAGGTTGTGCTGTCTTTGCCCCGGCAGAGTGCTCCGCTGTTGCAGTGACTGTGCCCTCGGACGGTTTAGGTCATGTAATCCGCGGCGCTACCGCGAGCTTTGGAGTGAGACCCTTCATACGGATACCTGGAAGGCTGTAGGATTCCAGCTCGGACTTCAAGCCACTGCATGGCCTCGTGCTGGCAGCCAGGGAGCATTGGGGGTTCCACCAGTGTCTCACAGCTCGGTCCTGAGCGAACCAAGAGCTCAGTGCACATCTGCGCAAAGGAAGACACTCACCGCACTGCAGCAGAAAGAAGCGCTTCACAGCACGAGCTCTTGCTGGAATGTTAGACTCTCCTACATGTCCTCGTCTCAGAGGCAGTGATCTCCAAGCGGGAACGCTTTACTGTTGTGAACGGTCCACCTCCCAAGCATCTGCAGCTGTAGGTAAGATGATCATAGGCCGCCCATCCCCATGACTGCAGATTGCGGGGGTATGGAAAGTTAGTGCCGGCTTGAGAACCCTGAAGTTGGCAGTGCAGAGCCCAGGCTGGGAGTAAGGCACAGTGAACACTTTGCCAGACACGAACCATCGAAGCATTCTAGCCTGAGCTCAGTGAATTCGAGCAAAACGTCTCTGCCACGCCGATGTCCTTGCATCCATGAACGAATATCTCAATTTGGCCCGTATAGGGCGAAGACAGAGCGACTGCGGAACCTACAAAACTTGCTCAACGCCTGCAAGTATACCTCGTGTTACCGTCTCAAAGTCAGGATGCAAGAGCCATCAAGACCTTGACTCTGACTTGGTCGGCAATTAGATGCTACTCAGGTAGTCGTGATGTAACCTGCACAAGCATGTCCTTGCCGGGCAAGCTGTTCTATCTTTCCTGCGTTCCGAGTCTCAGCAGCGCCATCGCTTGCCCGGATGCACATGACTTGCAGGGCATCGTCGCAACCCATCGACGGATCGAGTCCCAGGTCGCCACAACACGCCCCTGGGTGGCTCAGTCGCAGGAGCCGCTCGAGTTTCCGCAGATCTTGTCGTATCGCTGCGAGCATTTATTTCCAGCTCTGGACCCATCACGCGGCATCACGGAGCCGGAAGATTAAAAGGGACCGTGCAAGAGTTGCTCCAGATAAGGGCTAGCCGTACATTCCCTTAGCATATCATCAAAGACTGATGTCATACCAAATCTCCTCATCGCACCTTGTGCTTCTGAGTCTGCTTTGTGCAGGCCGGCGACTCGACAGCGTTGCATGGCAGGCTTGTGGGTTTAAGGGGGAAGCTGCCCTGAGCATGCATTGCACTGGTGGCGCGCTTCCTTCAGCACTTCTGGCTCCGTGTCCACTGCGGGACCCGTCCATGAATGCTCTCCAGATCGCTGCAGAATATACAAGGCAAACGCATCCAAACGACAGAGATCACAGCACCTGCACCCCTATGTTCTCACCCCAACGTGCAGTCTTCCCACTAGCCGCGCAATGTGGGAATGGCAAGATGCCACTTGGCATCGCGTCAACAGCAAGGATGCGCAGGTTCTCGAAGCTGCGTACTCTCAGGACTTTGGTAAGCGGTTCTGACTATTTGAGAGGGTGTATGTCAAGGCCGTCTGATGTTTCCGCCTCGGGCACCGTGTGTCTTGGAGAAAGTTTCCCTTGAAGCTTGGGACAAATCAGCCCATGCTCAGACTTCTACAGCCTTTCCCGTGCTCATGGCAAAAGCTCAACCCTCTCAAAATCTACTTCTCTCCCAGATGACAACTGTAAGGCCTGTACAGGGGTATCCGTTGCGGCCGTCAGTGTCTAGAGGAGGTGAGTGAGGCCCAGCTTGCCACTCACCTGGGGCCCCTGGCGTGCGTCTAATTCGGCCCATGCGCTGCAGGATGCGATGGGGCTGCACTACTTGGCCATGGGGCCGCACAAGCACCTCGAAGCTCATAAAGAATCCTTGGTCCGGATACTTGCTCTCTGGCTTGTTCCTTACCCAGGCGACTGTATCAAATTGATTTCTCTGTGATGTGCCACGGCGGCAGGGGTCATTAAGTTCAATGTCCTGTCGGAGTGACAACATCAAGGGGAGTGCGGACTGCTGTAGCGATTTTTAAAGCACCGCTCAGGAAGCAGTGGAATCAGGTGTCAGGCAGCATGCGGTACCTGCGCCGCAAGGCGATTCACAGCGGATCATCTCATGTTGCGGAGCGTTAAGCGTTGCTCTTTTTGAGAGGCCCGCGCGGTCCAGGAAAATGTCCTGGAATCAGAATCCGAGAAGGAGTTGATGCACTGGACAAATACACTTCAGAAACTTGTGGTCAACTGCAACAAGCAGCTCCATGCATTCTCTGTTCAGTTGAGCAGTCTCGACTTGATGCAACTCTTCAGAGCAGGAGCTCAATCAATTAGAAGAAGCCGCGCTCCTGGATAGTAACCTGCAACACTTGAGCATGTCAGGCGCACGTGCTTTGCAAACCCTCGCCAGGCGTTCTTGAAGGCCGAACTGTTGGTGGCCGAAGCTGCGGATTGCCGGAACATTATCGAGGCCCTTCGGCTGATATCCAAAACGCTTTGCTGGAGTCATCTCTTCTGATGTTGCCCCACCCTGTCCAAGACATATGGACACCCGCTTACATGTTGTCACCTTCCCCCGTGCCAAACCTCTGGGTCCATACTTAGGAATGTGCGTAAACGAAAATTCTCAAACATTTCAGTTCCCGTAACAGGTCAAAATTAGTTTGGCGCGTCAAGGCGCGTCCTTGAAATCTCAGCGCTGGCAAGACCTGGTCGGGTCCAGCTACCACGGGTTGCCAATGCTTTCCTCAGGTGGGCTCAACCTGCGGCCGAGCTCACAAGCCACATGCATCCTCCTCTCTTCCCTGGGGGTGGTGAGACTAGAAGGTCCAGATCGCTTCCTTTGTGCGGCGCAGTGCGCCGCCTCCTGCTCGCATCGCGCAGCAGACAGGAAAGGGAGTGCATGAACACACCTGCCAGCGCGGGAGCGTAACGCAGACACTTATCGTTTGCAGAACGGGAGGCGAGTCAATGTTGCCTGTCCATCGATCCATCCATCCATATCCATCCACCCATCCGTCCATGCACCCATGCATCCAAACCTTGAAACATGCAGTCTGCACCAGACATCTCGTGATAGTTTCAGGGCCAGAGAGCTGGTCCGATAGCCACGGATGGGTGACAATTGTCCACGGTCTCATCGTCCAGAATAGAGAAAGCCCATGTGAAAGGTGCCAGAGATCGCTCCTTGCGCAGAAGCGGAGCCTCGTGGCCAGGACGAAGAAGGAGCAGAGAAGGAGGCTCGCAGACTATCTGCCCATAACAAAGTTTCAAGGTATGCCGAAGGCGATGCAGAGCTGTGCCATGATGTGCTGATGTAAGCGAGTTTGTGCACGGAACATGACAGGAGATCCTCCAGATGCACCTCAGCGATGCAAGACAAGAGAGAAGCTCTTGTTTGTGTGTGGTGAAACAGCCACTTCCTGCGCTCCGGACATGACGGTGGATGAGGCATTGGGCAAACGGCCTGCTTGCCTTCCAGCCGGGAGTGCCGAAAGCTTCAGAGAAGGATCTCAGCATAAAGTGTATCGATATGCCGTGTGCATCCAGAAAAGAGCGAAAGCGCACACAGGAAGCATTGGAGGACTTCGCGAGCCTGCCGATGTTGCAAAGGCACAGGGAGCTCTGCTGTGTTGCAAGGAAAGGCTTCGAGGTTCCATGCGTGTCCTTGAGAGAGGTCCGTCGAGCGGGGTCACATCGCACTTCTGCGCGCCTCCTGGCTTCGCCGCATCCTTGCCCAACCCGCTCAGCCCCTTCCTCGGCGCCAGGCGCTGCCACCAGAGGCGTACGGGGGTCCAGTATACTGGTAGTGAAAGGAGGCTGCTTGTGCCTCTTGACTTGCGATTCTGTGAGGCCTTCTGGAGCGACTTCAGCGGCTTGACGGGCAACGTATCTTCAAGACTGCTTGTCGTGTCTCATTTCTGGCAAGAAGAACAGCCAGAATCTGACTGCCAAATGCTGGAGCTTCTTGCCAAGATGGTGGAGAAGCACAGCCAAAGATTGTCTTCAGAAGAGCACGGCATGGAGTTTGCTATTTTTTTGGATTGGTGCAGCCTCTACCAGCAGCCCCGATCAGAGGATGAAGAAGCCACATATCAGCGAAGCCTGCAGGACATGAGCGCCTGGTATGCCTCGCCTTGCACCACCAAGTGGTTCATGCCTAGTTCTGATTCTATGCACATCTGGCCGTGCTTGCAGCGAATGCTAGCGACTTTGAGCTCCGAGTCCCTGGTGGTAGAGGCCAGCGAAGCGGTAGCCCAGTCCAGCTGCCCTCTATCCCCGTCGCGACCGACTCTCCTTCAAGCATTCGGTGCGTCTGGAAGCCCTCCAACGACACCTAGCGCTTTCAACCTGATGACTGAGAGTCAAGGCTTCGATGAGCACGTGGTGTCACTGGCGCAAAAGTTGTACCACAAGGCCTTCACGGCCGTGCTGGGTGCACAAGAATGGATGGACTTCTCGAGCCGCGGCTGGGACGACTTCAATGCACTCCGGCTAGCTGAGGTACTGGTTCACAGCCGGCATCTTGTGAAACTCGTTCTATCGGAGAATAGCATCTCGGATGTGGGCATGGAGGCGATAGCAGCTTGCTTGCCCGGCACGCTGCAGATCCTGGACATCTCCCACAACATTATCGGTGATGGGGGCGCCGGTTGCTTGGCGAGTGCCCTTTGCAAGCTGCCGGAGCTGCGGCAGCTCTACATCAGCGCAAACAGCTTTGGGGAGAATGGATTCGCGGCCATAGCCTCAAAGCTACCGCTCTGTCCAAAATTATCAACATTACGAGCAGCTAAGCTCGGACTCGGAGATGCACTGCAGGCTTTGGCACTGGTTCTACCGCAATGCCCCAGCCTACAAAGCCTTTGCTTGAATGAGAACCAGATGGGAAGTGCCTCAGCAAGCCTTCTGGCAAGCACGTTGACTTCCTTCATTGAGGAGCTGCAACTTGACGACAACGAGATAGGGGACGTGGGCATACGCGCACTGGCGGGCCGCTTCAAAGATTCCTCACACTTGCGCCTCCTCTCGCTGAACGAAAATTGCTTCGGCGATTCGGGCGCAGCCGCCTTGGCACGAGCCTTGCCGAGCTGCCCGGCTTTGCGCACTTTGAGAGCCGCTCGGCTCCATGAGAAGCTTTAGGAGCGCTTGCAGTGTTCCAACAGGCCGTCGGAAGCCGTCTCGCGAGGTCAGCTGCAACCACATCTCCCCGCAGGCCGGAAGAGTCGCGCATAGCCTAGATGAATTTAGCGCATGCGATCGGCAACTCCAAGCGCCACTGAATTGAACTTCAAGAGTTCAAGGTTGACAAGAGTAAGCTCCCCGACCTAAAAGTTGTTTGGATACGCAGATCCTCGAGTTTCGGCATCTGACTGCAAACATCCGACAACCGTGAAGGATGTGTAGCAGAGTGTGGGGAGTGAGTGGTGGGCGTGACGGTCTGGTTGAAGGAGCCTTTTCTGTAGGTTTTATAGGGATCCTCGACTTGGTGGCAGGCTTTGAACCGCCTACGACATGCTGTTCCGGGGCTGAACGTCTTTGCCTTTGGACAAACGGCTCGGGCAAGATAAAAAGGCTACACATTCCAGCACCTGTTTGAACTCATACTGTGCGCACGAAATTCGACTCCGCCGCTGTCAAGACTCAAGACATATGGCGGAGTCAAACGATGAGCCAATGGGGTACAGCATACGCACGTGCTTGATTTGGATTCACAGCCTCAAAGGTCTGTTTCAGCTAGCCAACATGAGCAGCGTAGTTTGCATCGGGATTGGGGAAATCCTTCCAGCCAGCAGCCTTGGCATCCATGTGTGGCTGCGCAGCTGCAGCATGTGGAAGGTGTCATTGAGCCTCGCTGGGAGGGCGGCGGATTCCGGCAGTTCGATGTGCCAGGCTGGTGCAACAGAGCCGGTCAGGCAAGTTCTGTCGTGCGACAGCTCTTATTCGCGGCCCCTGCCCGTAGTGGCCTCCGGCAGGTTTTTTATGTTCGACTTTGACCAGACCCTCACGGTTGGGGCCCGAGCCATTTTGTAGTTTTGCTGTTTTGCTACCCGAGCCGGCCGCTACAGATTCGGAGATGCGAAGGCCTGCCGGTTCAGGTGCCAAGGACCTGGCGCAGGATAAATTTCAAGAGTTCAGGTTCTGGGGGTCGCTGGGAGCTCACAGTTCGGCAGTTTGATGGTTTGTGAGTTTGTTGATGCTCGAAAATCTGTTATTGCAGTTGGTTACGACGGGATAAAACAGCTGAGAGAGAAAGGATCAGTGTATACGAGGAGGAATCGACTATCGAGCTGAAATTTACAACAGGCGAGCAGGAAGATGCGAGTCCCAACAATGCCAGAGCAGCATCAGAACGAAGTTTGGTCTCATGAAGACTCATGAAGGCTTTGCATGCTTGCTTCTCCAAAGCAAGTGCACGAACCAGCGACAGCTGGAAAGGAAACTTTCTTATGGCGACCCTTCTGTGGCTCATGTCACAACTTTTGAGGTGTTTCATGTCTTCAAGTCGCTCTCCGGCTGGAAACAGGACCGTGTATTGCTGTGTGCTGCTCATGCTTCATCGCGTGGCCTCAGCTGTACTGACGATTCGGATTCGATGTTTCCCTGGGCCTGTTTCGACAACCGCAGGAGGGAGTTTGCGCCAGCATCCCGAAGCCGCACGCGATGAGTGAGCTAGGGCAGGTTGCGCAAGCTGCCACTGCACATGTCGTGAAATACCATGCTTAACTGTCCATACAAGCTGTGAGAGAGAATTATTGGAGTGTCCATACGCATTTGCAGGTGGCACGGATTGATGAGCTCAGCAGTGGGGAGTTCGCAACCCAGGTACGCCAAGCAGTTGGTGAAGAAGCGGGAACAAGGGATTGCATCAAACCAAGTGGAAGCAGGGACTGTTGATTTTCAGAGGCGTGCGTTTCTAGATCATGATATCACGAGGCACATGCATGGCACTGTTGCAATACATCCCAAGATTCAAAGGTGTACAAAGCAGCTGGGTTCTCACGCAAGCCGTAAATTCAACATGCATTGGAACAGGGTGGCTTCCCCTGCGCAGCTTTCGGTGGAAACAATCGCGTCGAGGAGGCCAGAGACAGGAAAGCTCGGGCTGTGAAAGCTCAGTGCAAAGGAGCCTCCAGAGCCTCATAGAGCCGCTGCAAGGTGCGGAGGATGTTGCAAAGTCTTCAGAAGGAAGACGCCGAGATGGTGATTTGCACTAAGGCCGCGGATGCCACGCTGAAATCTCCCCCATTTTCCCAGTCTCGTGGCAGGGCTTCGTGGGCCCCGTGCAGTTCTGCCTTCATGTCCTCGGGCTTCGGTCATACTTCACACAGGCCCGACGGCGGTGTCACAGTGTCGCTTGATGTCGCTTGGATCTGGGGAAGGAAAAACGAGAGCGTTCAATGCGACTGAGTACCAGGTCTATGGTCACATCGGTGTCACCTACGGCACCTCGCCCTTTGACAAGCAGGCCGCTTTGCAATTCTCGAAACATCCGGATGGATGCTCTGACTTGTGCAGCGTATGTTTATGGCCAACCAGGTTTGGGGCTGTAGGTGCAGTTGCCATTCTCGGATTGCCACGTTACTTGATGTTACAGGTGATCGCCGATCCGCCCGCGCTGGCCCCACAGTTCCTGGGAGAAGCGTGGCAGGTCTGTTACAGACGGGTTCAACGTGGGTGGCAGAGCAGCTTGCCCATGGGCTTCATTGACCCGTGACCCGGCGCAGGCAGAGTGGCGTTCCAAAGATCAGCTGATGGTTAAGCTGCTGCAGCAGAAAGGCAAGGACGCAATTCAGAAGATTTCAGAACGAGTCGAAGGAGACTTGCATGGTACAGCCATAGAGGATCTTCCAGGGGACGTGTCCCACTGCAGGCCTGAAGTCTTCCCAAGGCATCCTGGTAGAGGACGATCCTGAGGCCTCGTGCTGCTGGCGGATGTGAAGTGAGCCTAGAAGGGTGACCTTGCCGGTGCAGGAGATTCGCAGGGCCAACCGGGTTTGCAGGACAGTGGAGGTCGTGGGGGATAGGCGGAAGATGGCAGAAGCCAACCACAGCTTGGGAGCAGACATTGAAGGACTCCGTAAAAACTGCAGGCTTTGGCCCAAGGTGGAAATCCACCTTCCAGGGAGCTGGATCTCAGCCGCGAGCTCCCCTGCCAAGCACCGAGTTTGAAGAATCTCCAAGTTTTTTTGAGAGGCTTGGCAGGGGCTCCGGGCGAATCCGAGCCATGTACATCTTCGGCACTGGCGGTCGACGCGCTGACCCGCCCCGGTCGAAAGGAGACCTCTCTGGGCTCAACTCAGCAAAAAGCCAGTCGTGGACGTCAGAAGGTTCCTCGGACAAAGATGGCTCTCACGCTCATCTCAAGCCGTGCGTCAATCTTCACATGGCTTCAGGGGGAAACAAGATCTCTCTCGCTCAGTCTCTCGGCCCCTTGGAGAAAAAGAAAGATGATACTAGTAGAGATGGACTGACCAGTGACCAGCAGCAACGAGCGCAGCAGCCTCGCAGGCTCCTCAAGCAATTCTTCACAGAGAAAACAGTCTTACGAGAGCCCGGTGACCACTGCTGCTCGGAAGAAGATGTTGTGCAACGTGCATCTTTGAAGTTTCTGAAGAAATTCTTCCAGGTTGGGGAGGTGACACCAGCCAGAAGCTGGACCAGCTCGCACTACGAGACGAGTCCTCATGCCGGCTTGGGCAGCTCTGCTGCAGAGAGTCCATTCGATGTGGCACAGCCTTAGCCTTTCTCCACTGAGGCACGAGAACGCTGCTTGACCGCATTCACCGTACTCTGCCTTCGGGCTCCGACGAACTAGAGATCTAATCTACAAAAGGTTTCGACAGCCGTAGGCCGTAGTCTTCTTCTCAGACATGCAGTTCCCTGAATCCATGTAATGTGAAGTTCTTGGGAGGTTTTTTGGCACAGCGCCGCCACCTCGTCAAGAGGGGCCGCCGCTTCTCTTCACATCGCCAACCCCACCACCACTAGTGCCGCTGGCACCGCCCGCAGCTACCATGATGATGTCACCACCAGTTTTTAGTGGGCCTCCCTGCGCGGCGCCATCACTGCCTCCGAATGCGCGAGCCTTACGCTTTTTGATTGTCCGACTTTCACGGAGAGTTGCACAATAGCGTGATTCATCATGAGCCCATGAAGCCCTAAGTCCCAAGAGCTCAGATCTCAATGTGCAGCTTTCAAGCTCCTCCACCACCGCCTGCGGCAGCTCCAAAGATGGCGCCGCAGCCATACACATTTCACACGGCTGCAAAGCTGCAGAAAGCGGCAGTCATAGTGTAGTTTGGTATAGTACGGTATGATAGTATGATGCATATCGAATGAAAGTATATCAAGACCTGATGGGGTGTTCAGGGCCCTTTCGGGTTTAGGGAACTTCTTTGCCCTCCGCAGACTGCACCGATGAGGATTTGGCTGCTTCATCGCTGCAGAGCACAGCAGCCAATGCCCAGGCAGCGAAGCTTGCGGTTCCCGCGAGACTGTAACGATCTGCAACGGCTTGTAATCGGCGCTTTGCTTACCAGGACCTTGTTGTGCGTAGTTCTACCTTGACGTGGCGTCGGAAAGAGTTGACTTTAAACCGCCACAGTGGAGCAATAGCCGCAAACGAGTCGGTACGAGTTCGCCACGAGCCGCAGACTGCACAGGGCGACCTGGACGACCAAAGTTCGCAATCCACAGTCACAAAGGAGGCTCCGAGCCCGGAGGAGAAGGAAGAGGAGCCCAGCCTGCAAGTGGAGGAATGTGTCACAGTTCCATGTAGGCTATCCGGTAGCGAAGCTTGGGCAGGGTAAGCACAGCATGCACGTGTTGCCTTCTAGCTGCACCCATACAAGTGGCATGGAAATGGATGAAACTGCACAACCAAAGCCATTCTACGGTTATTGAAGCTTTGGGCTCATTTCTCGTTCTCTTTCTATCACTATCGCCATCGATCACCGAACCTTTCTCCGTCAGAATGACTACGTGCAATGTATTGTTTGTGGATGTGACGAATGCTACAATCGCAAACACAGTAGCAAGATATGTGTGGTGATGCTGGTTTGGACCAGTTTCGTAGGTGTCTAGTATTCGTAGTAGTGGTAATAGTAGTACTGCTGCTGCTGCTACTGCTACCCCTGCTGCTACTGCTACTGCTACTGCTACTGCTGCTACTACTACTACTGCTGCGACTGCAACTACAACTACACTACAACTACAACTACTACAAGTACTACCACTACAAGTACTACTACGACGACTACTACTACATGAGCAGGAGTAGCAGTAGTAGGAGTATATGTATTAGTATTAGTATTCGTATTCGTGTTAGTGTTAGTGTTGTTGTTGTTGTTAGTAGTAGTAGTAGTAGTAGTAGTAGTAGTAGTAGTAGTAGTAGTAGTAGTAGTTGTAGTGGTAGTGGTAGAAGTAGTAGTAGTAGTAGTAGTAGTAGTAGTAGTAGTAGTAGTAGTAGTAGTAGTAGTAGTAGTAGTGGCAGCAGCAGCAGCAGCAGGGGAGGAGGAGGAGTAGTAGCAGTAGTAGCCGGCTGCTGTTGCTGCCGCTGCGGGTGCTGCCACCACAGCCACTACCACTACACTGGCGACCAGTAAAAGGTTCGTGAACGCTGGTAGCGGAGGTAGCGCCCAGACCGAAGTCCCTTTAAGCGGTTCTCTCCAAAGCGGCTGCGCATGATTACTCAACGGCATACCGGATACTGATACAGCTACGACGACGGTGGCGAGTACAATACTAATGCTGGTCTCTCGGAGATTCCCAGGTCAGCCGATTCGATTCCAAGTCTTCACGTCGGAGATGGGCAGATATTGTCAACGACTCAGATGATGACGACCCCTGGAACGTCAACACGAGTGTGCTGCTTGTTGGCAATATGCATATTTTACTTAGGTATAGTCAGTGAGGTGTATGTGTGTAGCCCGTGTTGCTCATGCGGGCTTGGACAACACTTTCCCTTCTCCTTTCTGCAGGGGGGCCACGCCCAGCTCCTGCAGCTCGCCGGTGCCGAGCAGCCAGGAGCCGCACCTGGGACAGCACGCCTCAGGGGGTTTCAGGGCCTCTTTTGACCGATCCTGGGAGAAATACAAAAAGCTTGGTTATTCCGGCGGCATGTTGAGATCCTTGGGTCCACAGTCCTGGACAAGAATGTGAGGTCGTCCGCGCAACCAACGTGCACCACGAGCGCAGACACGGCGGCTCTTGGATGTTGCTCGCACTGCACACAGAAGCATATTCTGCAGCTTTTACATCATCTGTCTGACTCTGACCGCACACATTGACATGTACTGTCCGGCATAGCTGTTCCTTCCGTGTCCCTTGCCACCAGGGCGCAGTCGGCCGTCGGCCGCCGCGTGATGAATCGATGTACTAACCCTATCACCCTATCAGCGACGTTTCAGTTCCCCCATGCGGGTTAGGAGTGCCAAGGTCCGGAGCCAGCCACCGAAGACAACACCGAAAGCACAGAGGAAGTGCTGGAGCCTCTGCACGAGGAATTGCATGAAACTTCGCTAGCTCCGAAGCTGGAGCCCGCAGCCAGTGAAGGGAAGCGAGCAAAGCCAAGCTGCGAAGACCAGATTACGTCCATCAAAGACTGCGCGACAGACTTCCCTTGTCTCGACATCGATTGCTCACAGGACCCCGATGTGCCGTCATTTGCCTTTGTAGGAATTCGCAGCTGCGCGGCACGGCTGAGTCCAGAGCTGGATGGCCTCAAAGTCAGGGAAGCTGGGGCAGTCGCAAACGCGTACCTTGGGAGCTTCGGAAGGGGGCTTGCCTGGAACGGTGGAAAATGTGACGGTATGCCGTGGGCAACCAATAGATGGGAAAAGACACCACGGCGCGAATCGAATCGCCCCCGACCAAGCCCTGGGCCTCTAAACGCTGACAGGATCTGACAGCTAGTTTGTTCGAGAGCGCCAGCGAAAGGCGACGGATTTCATGAGCCCTTGGGAATCCGGGGAGGACTCTGTGGCTCTCTCCACGGTTGCGGACAGCATCGACTGCATGAGCTCGATTGCAGACTGCCCAGAGGCACCCACCTGAGGGGACCGGAAAGCGCCGTGACCAGTGTCAGACGTCTGATACTAGTAGCACTCGATGTCGCCGATCGAAGGTGGACATCACCGAATCATTGCCAGACGTCGGAGAAGCAGCCGGCCTTGGAGGTCTTGGCAGCGCTGCGCCGTGGCTTCATTGACGAATTCGTGAGGAAGCTGCTTGTGCACAGTTGCATGCTCGCTGCGTTGCCAAGGTTAAGAAGCGGAAGAAGAAGTCAGCAAGAAAGAAGAAGACAGAGGTTGTAGATCTGAGCAGGACCGCCGGACACGTGCACAGGGTTGTTGAATCGAAGCTGCTGCAACCTCCCGCTCACGACTCCCAGACTGGTCAGGACGTCATCCGTCGTCAGCGAGGTGACGTCCCGTCGCCGCTAGACTGCAGTGTCAAGGTTGTGGATGCCGGGAATCCGGCTCTTGTCGACGTGAGAAACAGACGGTGAGCGGTGAGCTTCAAGTTTTGAAATCCCCGCACGCTGCACTACTGGGCGGAATCTCGCTGTCGGGTCTGTCGGTTTGGAACTTGGCAACTGGGTCTCGCCTGAGGGAGCTCCCGAAGCGCACCTTCCGAGACTTCCAGCACGACCAGTGCCACAGGCAGAGAAAGTTGCAGACTCCAGAAAGCATCACGTAATGCTGTCATATGCTGTGCATGGAGCCTTCGCTTCTCTCTATGATTGGCTGCACACGCAGAAAGGCAAGCGCTCTGCATCCAAGTCGCAGTCCAGCAAGAGGCCATTTGCGACGGTGGAGGGATGCAGTCTTTGCGGGGGTAGAGGAGTGTAAGCGGGAAACATCCATGCCGCCTGGGGAGATGCGACAGGCCCGATACCTCTCAGCAGCAGGGTGCCTTCCCGTCCGCAAGGTCACTTGTCAAGATGAGCTTCCGGTTTAGATGTCTGCCGCACGATAGTAGCCGACAGCAGACAGCAGAAGTGTGTCACGCAGTTTGAGCAGACACTCTGAGGTGGAACAAAATCTGTCAGCATGCTTTGCATTCAACGTATCTGTAGACCAGCTTCATCCGACCCTCAGGCATGCATCGCAGTTTCAAGCCGGGTTGGCTAGCTGCGCATCCGCAATTTGTGACAACCCTCGGTGGGCGATCCTGATGCTGTTGGCCGCAGTGGTGCCTTTGCAGAATTTCTAGCTTTCGTAAGATTGCAAGGGCGAGAGCGCTTGGCTCAAAATTCAGCTCCAAGGTTTTTGGTGGAAAATGCTGGCTCCGGATCCACGGTGTGGAGGCACCTTGCTTGAAAAGCTGCAGCTCACGGTTTGCTCATCGTGACGCACGTGCATCATGCAGCCAGCAGCCGACTCAGGATGCGGCAGATACCCGCATCAGGCGAATGTACTGATCTGGCGTGAAAATGGTGCCAATCAGTGATCACTGTGGAACGAACAGCACTAGTTCACCATGCAACTCAAAGACATGAAGACCACTTCGCCAACAAAAGTGCTGCTCGGTGCCACCACGCGCACAGCAAGCGCCAGCTTTCGTTGCAATGCTATCTACTGACGGTATGCTACGGCATGCTTGGCATAGTTCTGTCAGGATGCATGCTCTTTAGTCCAACAAGGACTCTTGGACGTGCCATGCAAGTTTGGCACGGTGCAAACGAAGATTTAGCACAGAGGGGTGCTGCCAGAAGCGACAGACATGCAAGCACTGATGTTGGAAGACGCCGACATGTTGAGCGGATCAGGCTGCTACGAAAGATGCAAGGCAGACAAACACAAACAGAAAGAAACGGCTGTTGCAATCTCTCGGGGCCGGCTTGGCTTCCTCAGAGCGTCCTCGGCAGTCTTTCGACTTCCACTGACATTGCTTGCCATGCACTGCTTCGTTCAACTGCCTGTGAAGAAGAGGCTCAGAGACTCGGGCCCGGGTAGTATAAACAGACTCTACAGTAGCTGCTTCATGGCTCTAATTGAACAGGATGGTAGTCGATTGTCCTGCCCAAGTCGGGCAGATGAATGAAGATAGGCAGGATTTGACAGGCTTTCGGCGCCGTACTGTTCCTTTTCGCGAAGCCGGCATCGATCATACTCTCGTTTGATTTTTGAATCCGAGGCTGATGAAGCTACAAAGCTGGATATGTATATATATATATATATATACATATATATATATATATATACATATATATATACATATGCACACACACACACAATGCAGGGAATGAAGGATGATGCCTGCTTGCCACAGTTTGTGATCACTCGGTGTTGCAACCTTGAAGCGCCAACTACGGCCACAAGATGCCTCGAACAGTTTCCACTAAGCCCTAGTAGCCCTAGTACTTGCTACACACAACATCTTTTTTTGGAGTTCATCCTCTTGTGGAGTCGCAGCTGTTTGCTTGCAGTGGCTGACTTTGGCTGCGCATGCCGAGCAGTTCCGCAGTTCTGTCCTTCCCACACCAGACTTGAATGCACCCTGGCTTGCGCTGGACCAGAATCTGACGCCAGACGTTGGACGCTTACCCGGTTCCAACGACGACGGCCTTGTGCGAAGTCAAGCTCTGGCTAGGCCACAAGTAGAGCCTGCGTTTTGAGCTGAAGCGGGAGCATGAGTTAGGTGAGCCGTTAATTGCAAGATCGACAAAAGCTTTCGTTGTCAGTAGATCGCATGCAAGGACACGTGCATCAGCAGTGCAAAGCGACCGTTCAAGTCGTTTGGAACTCCAAGGGGTTTCTTTAAGGTTCCCAGGGACTAAGGCATCTGCAGTTGTACAATTTGGCTCCCACACCAGCGCAAAACGCAGAGATTGGGGAATAGTGTGCCCAGCGCTGCGCATTTTCAAAGAAGGCGGCATCAAACTTGCTGTGCACTTGTAAGTTTTGTATCTGGCTTGCACAGACTTGGACATACTTTGACGATAAATACCACGAGCTGCAAATGACGAAGCTTTCAACACCTTTCAGGCCAGAGCTGTAACTGAGAGGTCGAAAGGACGTAAATTTCCTTGGGTTCCTGAGAGTCCTTCTCCGACTACCTGGGAGGGGCCAGGGAGACCCCAGCTGATGGCCGATGGAATCCTCAAAAAGTTGTTGACAATCTGGGTGTCGAGGACTTTCAACCTCACTGTCTGATGTACAGATATCCGACGCGTGGCTTGATGTGAGCCTCGTGCAGCGGCTTCGTCGTGACGTGGCGACAGCTGCGTGGATGCATGCTGGATGCTGGATCCCTGAGTAGTGTGCGAAGGTTTGTACATCTCCCATAGCTGGGAACATTCGGCTGCATGCAAAGCTGTCGTGCTGTTCTCGGCATGCCCGGCAAAGCTCAACTTGCAGTCGGCCGCTTTCATTTGCGAAGCTGCGAAGACTGAGGCTCGGCAGGCTATCTTGCTTCAAAACGTAATCGGTTGCCGGGTACAGTGCCGGCAACGTGTCCTGCTTGGACCAGACTGCACCATGTTCTATTCTGATGGCAAAAGTTGCGACAGGGCAAGCGCTGCGAAGCTCAATCGAAAAACATGCAAGTCCAGGTGAGCTAAGTTGCTGACGCCAGATACCCACAGGACAATGTTCGTGAAGGAGGGGAAAGGGATCACAAGCGTTCAGATGGCCCGGGACTCAGGCAGATCTCCGAGAGGAGCAATGAAGGAACCATGAAAACCGTGTGGCAGCCTTCTACTATAACATACTACAATACCCATAATATATACTATAATATACTGTACTATACTGTAACACCTTCCACCCAAGTCAGGAACAGTTGGCGCGGCTTGCAGCGGGGGAAGACCTCGCAGCTCGAGGCCTCGCCAGCGCTGAGGCTGTGGCAAAAAAACGCGAGAATCTGAAAGGCACGGGCACCACCGGCTGCCGTTCCGGATGCCTCTTGATGTGAGCCGAGATCAGAAAAGACCCCCCTGTTTCAAGAAGACGACGTGTTTGCTTTCGCTGCGCTCGTCAGGGAAGTAGATCTTGCAAGAAGGCAGAGTCATATTCGACAGCAGGTAGATGATAGAGATTGGCAGGTCAATGGAAATTTGCGTTGACCTGCGAAAGTGCCAGATGTGCGACGAATCTGTCCTGCACGTCTCAACCGCAGTCGAAAACAAGATCGGCAAAGCACGGCTGAAGCAGCAGTTTTGATCGTGCGCTTCTCACGTGTTTGCACTGTCCGGGTTTTGAGGAAGGATCTTAAGGGAATTCTATCTGCCCTACATGCGTGTGAGCTTTGGCGCGAGGCAGCCGGGTTGGAGAAGCCTTGGCTTTGAGGCGACAGGTGTATGCTTCTGCAAGCATGATGGTTCATGTGGCGCATCGCAAGGCCATGCGAAGTGCAACCAAGGTCAGGACCTCACTTTGCCTAAATGCGGCTATGGAGCTTACAGGTAGAGAAGGCGACGAGCTGAATGTTCGTTCGGCTCCACAGTGTTCCCCCTGTCAAGGTGGTCCTGGAATCTATCCAGGCCTAGAGTGTCGAAAGAGTCACATAGCTCTGAACATCGTTTCTCGACTGGGAAGCAGGTCTCCCGGCACCTGGTTCAACTCGGCCAGGTACCTAAAGGCTGTTTTCACCCCTTCACCTCCCCCCCCGCTCCGGCACACGCACGCACACACAAGATCACGTTGACTCTTGGCGCTTTATCCGAGGCATCAGACCTCTAGACCGGCTAGCATCAAAGGCACGGACCGGCACGTCCGTCACCGCATGTCCGGCACGAGGAATCCTATTCGCCATTGCAGCCTGCGAAGATAGAAGTGGCCGCAGGGAGCAAAGGCGGCGGAGGAGCTTGGGCTTTGGGCGCTGAAGCTGCCTCCTGTCGAGGCAAGGCCATGTTCAGGGAAGACAAGCGGGCGATGCTGAGAGAGAAAGGGTGGAGAGAGAGAGAGAGAGAGTGACCCTAGAATAAACCCCTACACCACAGCCCTGACGAAAGAAAAAAAGAGTGACCCTAGCCCCGGAGCAAAGCAAAGTGACCCTAGCCCTGGCGAAGAAGGAGCGAGCGAGAGCGAAGGGGGGGGGGGGGGTCGTAGTGGTTGGTTGCGGGTGAGCCCCTGGTGTCACTCCAGTCTGAAGTCCCCCAGTGCGTGAATCCGCAATTGGGGAAGAGCACTCTCACTGCCCCCTGGCTGTGCTGAAGAACAGAGAGACAGAGGCAGAGCTGAGAGGAGCGCAAAAAAACCGGGTTGGCAGCACAGCCGCTGTGGTGATCCACACAGCCATTCAGGAAGCTTTGGGACGACAGCGCAAGCAACAGATCCTGGATGGCTACTACCAGGCTTCCGACATGCTAACGGCTGCCAAAGAAGTAGTGTCCTTTTCCCTGACTTTCCATGGCATGTTACGAGCCTGCGAGGCCAAAGACTTGGTGGGAAAATCACTCGCTTCAGTTTCTCATCAGCGAAAGCCTCATCCGAAGCAGGTTCTGTGCAGTGCTCCGAATGAATGTGTTACAAGGTCATGGATGTCAGCTCTCCAGTCTGGGGCCAAAGGCGCTACTACTCTCCTTCACAAGGCCAGCAGATGTTGAATTGTGCCCACATCTAAGCTTCGCATCTGAATGGCCACAGGCTGGTTTTCAAACTCGTGTGGTCGGCCCGTTCGATGCGCACTGGAACACGCTCAAGGTTCTGTGTTGCACACTGCAGTTTCCTAAAACAGAATTGCCTTCCTGTCTGAGCATCTTCATACTTCTCTCAGACTCTAAGAAGAGGAAGCCATTGGACGCCGTGATCCCAAATTCTTCGCTGCAGGTCTTGAAGGACCTGCGTTCAGCAGCTGGGCAAGCCGCTGCACGTGGAAAAGGAGCTTTCCGATGATGACAGGATATGATGTCACAAGGTTTGATGAAGACCTTTCAGGACCAGCCACACTTCAGCTGACCCCCAAGCGCCGGGGGCCCGAAAGCCATTCAATTACCAACAGCCGGCACCGCTCTGCCCGTGTTTTCCGCGGCACCCCAGGTTTTGTCCAGTTCATGCGCGAGGCTCCAGTCTCGGAGGGGTGCTGAGCGCTTCTGCGACGTTGCCTGTCAGGGAGAGCGCATGAAGCAAAAAGTCCTCCAGCGAGACCCGGTGGAGGCGCTGAACTTGTCTGCGGGCCTCTTGTAATGTAGGGATGAAACCAGGATCCTCAGGGTTTGGATGCAGAAAGGCTCGCTGTGGGGCCCCTATGTTTGCAAACGTAAGGTTCTGTGGGCTTTCTGATACCCCACAGCGTTCCACCCTCTAGAACTCAGCTCATTGAACAGCACGCTTCGTGGCAGGACTATGTTGACTGGATGCTTGCAAACGGCCTAGCTCCTAGTTCGCTGGTGCAACTGTCTTTATCGTCTAGACACTCATAGCTGGCATTCGCCCGTAGCATCACCATCCACGTGGCTCACGGAGGTAGCCTGCGGTCACTGGGACCTGTCTTCTTCGAGAAGAAGCAGGGCTTGCCAGTTTGGGCGCGATTTGCCGAGAAGGTCATCCAGGTAACACAGTACTGAGGAGTCTGCTTGAGCTATCGACAGCCGAGGGGGTTTGTGCGGGATGGTTCTTGGCAGTCGATGTGCCGGGCATGTTTCACGGCTTGTTGCTACTACACTTGCGATGCCAGGTTGTACCGCGACGTGGTGCGCATCATATGCTTCGCGTTCGATCGGGCCTTGACAGAGGCACACCTGATGCAGCCGCAGCCTGCAATCCACTCAGGAGTGCTTGCTCACTTGCCATCATGATGGGCACTCAATCTTTCACGGACAGTTCACGATCGATTTGAGTAAGCTTGTTGGATAGGGGCCCTCGCAGTAGTAGAGCATCACAGAAGACTTGGGAACCGAAGCCCAAAGTGATGTGTTTGTACACTGGTTTAGTTGCTTGGGGCAGCTTTTGGCTTGAGGCAGGAGCGGGACCACCAGTTCCCACGCAACCTTGCCTCACACCGACCGGGCAAAGACCTCTTGCAGGGAAGCGCTCGCACACGGTGGCGCCTGCACCTAAAGCTCCCGGACAACAGGAAGGAATAGAGCGTGGTTTACAGGAGAGCTTGGATGCGGGCCCCTGTTGGGGCGGGGGTTCTTAAAGCGGATACGCCGGAGTCACTCAATGGTTGCACAGCCTTCCAAACTCGCGCAAGAGCAGAAGTTGAGGACAAGCACTGCCTTTCACAGATTGGAAGGAAGGAGTGTAGATTTACCCTGCATCCACATGTACTTTTTTTGTCCTTAGCAGTTCTCTTACGCGACCGCATTCGGGATCAAGTCCTAGCGTGCAAAAGACCGCACAGTGTTGACTTAACGGTAAATTGCCCGCGTGTAGCTGTACATGCTGTACACCTGTGAAACTTCAGGGTATCAGTCGTAGTTAGCTTTTTGGAATGGACATCGTACCGTTTATGGCAGCAGCAGGGGATACGGACGGGCATAGGAACGAGGCGGCGGCCAAACCACTACTTGCTACAACTACAGAAAAACCGCCAGGTAAACGTGTTCGTCAATGATCCTGGGATGCAGGGCCGCACTTGAACTACGTGCAGAAAGGAGGCATGAGCTTGTTTTAGACAAAATCTACAATGAATGAAGCTTCGGCCTATGTACATCGCTAACTTCGAAGCAGCTGCCGATGCAAATCACAGGCCACAGCTTTCGTATGTGCGGGAATCCACAGCTGTGCTGGTTGGGCAGCTCCACGGCGAGAACCGTGTCTGTCGGCAGATCGCAGATGCTGAACACCGTTAGCGCACGGACTTGGAATGTCAGGAAGAACGATCAATGGCCTTGCAACTTGATGCACAACAATCCGAAGTTGAGCCGCGTGCACCCACACTCGCCACTGAGAACAGACCGTACGAACATTCGCGAGCAGAATTGCACACTTCTTTTGACGACAATAGGTCGCAATTGATTGATTTCTTGGTTCAAGAATTCGAGGAGAAGCTTCAATGGGAGGCTCGGGAGGAAAACGATTACTGCTATCATTTGACCTCTGCGGAAGAGTAGTATGACAACTTGGTGGCAGATCTTGAGGATCGTAACGCGGAGCTTATAGCTGAGGTCAGCTCACTAAGGTCTGTTCTGACGACTGAGCCGAATAACCCACCGCAAGGTGGTGCCATGCCGATGAACGTAGTTGGTCTTAGTGAGAGCTCGGGAAGCCCACCGCAAGGTGGTGCCCCAGCTTCCCATAGTCAGGGTACTCCATTGGGCCGCACTTTGCCTAACCCAGGGAAATTCTAGTGGCGCTTCAAGGCATTTTGGGAAGGCCACAGAGGTTCAACATTGGTGATGACCCGACGGTGACAAGGGCGCCCGGGGCTGAGGTGTCGGCTGCTGAACAGAGTGAGCAAGCCGAGCAGGCGAAACCCAAAGAAGCTACGGAGCTGTTAGCTGAGGCATTGAAGTCGGTAATCAAGAAGCCTGACGACGACGATACGCCGAAAGCTAAAAAAGCAGAGTCCGTAAAACTGCCCAATTTCCAAATCCTGAGACGTACCGTAGCTGGAAAATCTCGGTGCGGAAGGCAGTAAGGACGGCCTCGGATAAGCCCGACGAAGCTTTCAAATGGGTCCAGGAGGTCTACGAGCGCAAGGTAACATGAAGCTTCTTGGGGACGCCGGAAAGTTTTTGACCCTCGACACCAAGATCCTCTCAGCACTATCCCGTGTCGCGAAGGCGGACTTGGGGCGACAGATGATCAACTACAAGGAATTAAGGAATTCGAAGCCTAGGCAAAAAGGGCAGTTCGCGGAAGGCAGGTTTTGCTCATGTTTGAGCATTGCAAGACCAACGAGGAGGCGAGCTCCGTTTATTCGATTGAAGATTTGCTCAGGTCCAGCTAAGTGGTGACGATCTCAATACAAGACCACCAGCCTGAAGAGACGACCGAGAGTCGGCAGCTTCGAAAATTCGAGTAAGCTGAAGTTTGATCTGGAGGTGTACGACCGTGCTGACGAGCGTACTGCACAACACACGTACGATGCAGAGCGTCAGACTGCATCAACTGCTCTCTAGCGTGGGTATACTCAGGCCCAATGGGACGAGTACTACTGGACCCGCAGTCAGCGTGACCAGTTTTCGCAAGCCGAGTGGGATGCCTGGAACCGCTCCCGCCGTTTTGGTTCCTTTTGCGTATGCTTCGGACACACAGGGCTTCCCTACACTGTGTTTTATATATGCTCGCTTCGGCCAACAATTCAATCCCACTGATAGCCCGCGGCAACCGGGCTCGTACTCTATCCGCCTTAACTTGAGCAGCACGGCGAGGGGGGTGTAGATTTCACCCTGCCTCCACATGTACTTTTTTTGTCCTAAGCAGTTCTCTTGCGCGACCGCATTCGGGATCAAGTCCTAGCGTGCAAAAAACCGCACAGGGTTGACTTAACTGTAGATTGCCCGCGTGTAGCTGTACACCTGTGAAACTTCGAGGAAGGGAGGAAGGGAGGGAGAGACGGAGAGGCAAAGATACGGAGAGCCGACCTGTCCCCTTCCGTCACCGTGTAGAACCATTGGCCTTCTTCCGTGCACATCGGATGGATCGAATGGATGGGTTGGCCCACAGGGCGCTGTCGCCGAAGGGGACCTTCCCTGTCGAACGTCATCGCTTCCCGCCCAGCAGCAGGTCGAGGTCCCTGGCCACTCGTGCAAGCAGCTGCAAAGTCACCAATGCTGAACAAAGCGCCAAAGCGCGCAGTCTAGACGGCAATGATCCTCCAAGACAGCCGTTGACACCGCCCAATCTTCCAAGCCTGCACCCTGTGGGCCCAACCCCACGCCATGGAGCTATCGGAAAGTACTGGCTGCGAGTACGTATGGCAACATTCTGCCAACGAGCGGTGGGGACAGCCAAACATCCGTGTACGTGTGGGCCCCTTTTTGCTGCATACTTCATGGGGTCCTCGCCTCGGGGTAGTCACCTGCAAAGCCTGGGTTTTGTGCTAAACGGGGATCGGAAGCGGCTGAACTTTCGTTCAAGGTGCACTGGGCCATCCCCAAGCCAAAGCCGACAAAATTGGATACCGTATAACCGTATTACTATGTGGGGGATCCCAAGCCTGTTGCTCGTACGGCATCAGCGACCGCTGCGGGGTTTGGTTCGTTGCCACTAGTCAACTTTCTTGTTGCCCTTGTTTCGCGCTGCACAAGCTTGCTGGAAGGTGAACGGAGCCACTATTTGGGGGCACGTGCTTCGTGTCAAAGCTCTCCGTGAGGTGCCAGTCAAACGCTCTTCCATGTCTTTCTCTGCTCTGCTTCCATCCATTTGCTACAACTGCATCTGCTGCCTCCTACTAGGACGGTGACAGCAGCAACAACAACTACTACTCCTCCAGCTACTGCTGCTGCTGCTGCACTGCTGCTTCTACCACGGCTGCTGCTACTACTACTACTACTACCACTACTACCACTACTACTACTACTACTACTACTACTACTACTACTACTACTACTACTACTACTACTACTACTACTACTACTACTACTAGCCTACAACTACCACTACCACGATCACTATGTCGACGACGACTACTGCTACTACTGCTACTACTACCACCTCTACTACTGTTTTTTCTTCTGCTTCTGCGACTTCTGGTTCTACTGCCCCTACTCTTCCTGGCCTAGTAAAGTTGCTGATTATGTTTGTCAACATGTCAACAAGTTTCGATTCACAGTGGCAGCCGCACAGCTAGGATTCGATCGCACAAAGTGCCGCTCACATGTATTTTCCAATAACGTGCCTCCGCGCTGCAGTTTTCCGAACATCTCGCGAAGGTCGCGACCACAGACGTTTCAGCTTACTGCACGTTCGGGTTTCCAATCATCGGATCAGGATCTCGGGTTGTTGTTCAGACTGTTTTGGCATCGGATGGATTTGGGGTTGCAGAATGAGCTCGTTCAGGCATCAACTGCCGCACTAGGGTTCTCAAAGGCTGTGAGCAGATTCTGGTACACGGGCGGAGTCGCATCAAGATTTCATTCTGATACACATCTATCCTAAGGTGCCCCGCCAGCCGACTGCAGTCGGCATCCAACAGGCTGGCTTGAATCCCATGCTTCTGCCGTCATGTACTGATTGTGATACTTGGGGCGACTACTTCAGAAAGCATTCGAACACGAAAAAACTTCTGGACTATCCTGCTTGTTGCTCGTGGCGCCGTCGGCCGCAGGGTCGCACTATCCGTTACATTCCGTTACTGCATGAGTGTTCCTCGTGTTCTTTTGCAAAGAAGGTTGACCGTGGGTCAAGGACATGCATGCTTGCCCAGATGCTGATGCAAACCACTGGCCAAGTATTGCCTCAAGTTGGACAACTTCGTCGCTGCGCGAACTGCGAATGAAGATCCTAATGGCCAGGTAGTCGTCGGAGGTTCAACAGTCCTCAACAGTTCTGGACCTCTCTTCTGGACCTGACAAGTCGGAAGGCAGTGAATCCACGAGTTAAAAAACATTAACTCTTGAGTTTATTGCCCGGCATCGGGCCGCCTTGGACCCCTTCAGGCCCGCACAATTTACTTTTAATTGGCCCTGAACGTTGCGCGACGCTCCATTCCACGCCTGTCCTGCTCCTACACGGCACAATTAAATCATGATTTAGTTCTTTCTGCTACACTATCCGAACCCGAGGCGACAATTAAATCATGATTTAATTGTTCTGAATCAATGACCAAATCTGAAACAATTAAATCAACTCGAACAGTTGGCAAGAACGCAACAATTATAATTAGATCATCATGTAATTACCTCGCAGGATCCTTGTTTCAGGCTCAAGGTTTAAGGTGAGATGCACGATCCACATGCTTGTTTGTCTACTGCATTGTGTGCAGGTGTGTCTACGGGACGCGTCCCTACTCGACTAGACGAGACTAGAGTAGACTAGAGTAGGCTACACTATAGACTAAAACCGAGTAGACTAAACTAAACTAGTCTACTTATTTGGGCTAGCTTTCCCTGGACCGTGATAGGAACCAACTACATTACTGGTGGTTACCAAGAAGGACGCCAAATTCCACAATTAAATCATGATTTAATGTGGTATCCCGCTAGTGTGGTGATCTACTTATCTAGGCTAAAAATCCTTGGACCGTGATTGTAACCCCAAGTACATTACTGGTGGTTACCAAGAAGGACGCCAAACTCCGCAATTAAATCACGATTTAATGTGGTATCCCGCTAGTGTGGCGATCTACTTATCTAGGCGAAAATTCCTTGGACTGTGATAGTAACCCCAACCACATTACTGGTGGTTACCAAGGAGGACGAATTCGGCAACTAGATCATGCTTTAACGTGGATTCCCGCAAGTGTGGCGATCGACTTATTTAGGCTATAAGTCTTTGGACCGTGATAGGAACCAACTACATTACTGGTGGTTGCCCAGAAGGACGCCAAATTCTGCAATTAAATCATGCTTGAATGTGATATCCCGCGAGCGTATGGCACACAAGTCTCTGGTAGAATATATTGGCACACAGGGAGACAGTAAACTCATAATTTAGTTGTTTATTAGAGAAATGCATACCGACACAATTACAACGCGATTTAATTGTGTCTTTGGAAGGTCCAAGGTATGTCAAAACCGAACAATTAAATCAGGGTTTAATTCTATTTAACTTCTGGATTCATTGGTTTTCTTGGCAGTCAATGCAAGCTGGCCTCCCGCCTCAGCCGTCGTCAGCACCCGCGAGGTCGAGGCCTTCGTTGACCGCATGCTGAAGAGCAAGGCCGGGCCCCCCCCCCCCCCCCCGCATGAAAGCAGACTTTTGTGCTGAAGGAGATGCAGCCAGTAGCAAGAGCCAGGAGCACTATCAAGCTGTGAGTCTGCTACTCGCAGTATTGTCTGACATACCCTGCTTGCTGCCAACTGCGATCGCAGGGTCCACTAGGGAAGTTGAGAAGAGGTCCCGTGTGGGAGGAGTGTCGAACTTTGCCCCAAAGATACCGAGGCCTCTCAGCCTCAACGCGAAACATCCCACAGCATGTTTAAGCCATTTTGAGCTCGAGGGAGTCCTTGGAGGAATCCAAGCCTGACAGCGGCAGAATCGAAAGCTGCTGTTGAGACCTGCAGGATCTAGAGGCTCCGCCGATTCTCGATGGAGTACAGCGTCAGTTGCTCGTGAACTGCTCCTTGATGGCGGGGACCTCAGCGCCAGTCAGCTTGTTAAAAGAAGCTGAAGCCTGCAGTCTATTTTGCTTCAACGAACGAAGTTTATCACCGGGGAAGGGTCTAAAGTTTCCGGTGCCATGCCCAGGGCCTCAGGCAATGGCTATTTGGAAAAGGGGCTTCCAATGTTATCTTGTCTTCCAACATGCAGCACTCCTTAGATCAGTTCATCTGCCTCTCAGATCTTGCAGCTCTTGGAAGACCTCAGCTCCGAAAGGCCGAAGATGGGTGGCGATTCGGTAGTTGTGTTTGCAACTGTCTTGCATTCTAGTGCCAGCTTCCCGGTGCAGCAAAAGGTAGAGCTGAAGACAAAAGGTGCCTGCACATTGCTTTTTCTCCAGAAGCAATGAGAAATTGAAGTAGACATGCTGCGCAGCCTAAACTTGTACAACTTGTCAGAGTTCGGCTGAGAAGCCACTGTTGGATTGCATGGGTATCTGTAAGGAACACAACTTAAAGCTTTGGGCAACAAGTTAAAATTCAAAGGTGAGGAAGTTTCCTCCAATGATTCCATGCCTTGGTTCCGGGTGGACCTCAGCACTACCCTCTCTGCCCTGTGGCTGTGCCGCAAAGTGGGCTGCTGGGCGAAATCCCTCGGCCGCTTGGGAGCACTGATTCTGCGATTTGTGCGGCGGGCGCACCTCTCGCGGCGTCCGCCCGACTATGGGCACCTGCTGATGACGCCGCTCTATCCAGGTCCCGGACACTGCCTAAAAAAGGTTCGATGAAAGCTGAGAGGTCGCAGGGCAAGTGTCCTTCATAGCTTGTCTCTCCGTGCGCAGGTAGGGTATGTACATGCTACGCTGCTACGCATCTAAGCAAGACAACGTGTACCGACCCTGGGACTGAACCGACGTCCCTGACACATAGTGCGCGGCCCGAGAGAGCGGAATCGAAGTGGGAGTCTATGGGCCAGCATGAGCCAGTGATAGTTTCAGGGGAGGTCAGCTGAGAGTGAGCGTACTTGCTGTCTTGAGTGTGATCCTGCCAGAGGAAACCATCCTTCCCCTCAAGCAGCCAGTGAGTCTCAAGATTTGGCGGAAAAGGCTCGGTCTGCGGAGAACTCTGAGGAGGCGCTTCTTTTACTTGGGCAAGCTGTGCTGCTGAATCCTCCGGACGCAAGCCTTCATTTGGCCAGGGCACAGGCTCACCAGGCGTGCAGCAGACATGTTGAAGCCTTGGACGATGCAGAAACTTGCATCTCCTTGGACAGCAACTGCTCTGCGGGCTGGCTGGAAAAAGGCAAGGCTGAACTGGCCTTAGGCCGTGCAGCCGATGCTGCAAAGAGCTTTCAGGCTGGTTTAGTCCATGAGCCAAATCACCCTGAGCTCTCAAGGCAACTATCCATAGTTCAGGCAGAGCCAGCACCCAACATCTTGCAGCAATTCAAAGAGTTGGTCTTTGCCGCAAGGCTTGGCCTTGAAAATCTCTTCCGGACCCTCGAAGATCCTCAGAGGGCCACAGATGCTTTCGTTGATTCCAACGCGGAGATGCTGGATGCGCAACTTGCCCTGCTGGCACAGACTCTGCGTGTGAACACATCAGTGCTCTTCGATTCGCCACGCCTCTGCGATGCTTACGAGCAGATTGTCCATGCCTGCGCGCAGCTCGTGTCTGGCGCTCCTAAATCCTTTTCGAGAAAGCTTTCGAATGCCAGAAAGATTGTGGAAGGACTCAGCCTGGCTTTGAGAATCGGCTGGCAGATCCACCATGGTCTTGCCAAGCACGCTGCCAGTGCTCTGATCATCTTGGCTACATGTCCGGAGGCGGAGGATGGACTTCGAAGAATGGCCGTTCGAGGGCTCTTGGGAGGTCTCTTGCGCTGGCTGGTGGATGCGAGGCCCGAGCCTGAGCGGGAGGTGGACGAGGTCTGCGGATGCAGCTGCGCGGTCCCTTGGAAGGCCGCTGCGTGTTACTTAGAGAGGCTCCTTGAGATCGGACGACCAATGGCCTTGATCCAGTTTGAGTGCGAGACTTGGCCTGACACAGTTCAGCTCTGCCAGTGGCTCACATTGTCCGTTCGAGACTATCACGCCACCCCGCTGGGACTTGTGGCACTGCTTCAGATGCCTGGGGTGGCTGCGGCAGCGATGAAGACTCAGGCAAGGGTTGATTTTTTCATTGCGCCGCATCTCTTCGGCGAGGAGCTGGGTGAGGATGAGGACGAGATGTTCGACGAAGCTGAGGATGAAGCAATGGAGGAAACTCCGGCAGAAACATGGGAGGCAGCCAGGGCGAACAACGTCCCATGGTGGCGAGCTGCACAGATGAGCCGGCAACCAGTGAGGGCTTGGCGTCAGCAGATGCGATTTGCGGCTGCTGTGGCAGCTGCTGAGGGCCAAGATCCGTCCCTGCCTTCGCCTTCGGGAGACGCGGTTGCGTCGGCTTCAGCTTCGAGCTTCAGCCGTGGTCCGGGTGCTGACATCTCGAGGATTCTTGGAAGCGATCCAAACCTTGCCAGCATCCTGAATGCCGCCTCTTCGAGTGCTCCCAGCTTGCTCCGGTGGATAACTGATCCCGCTCCACCTCCGCCCCAAAGGCTCGGAGAGTGGCTCATGAATTCATTGGGTTATTTGTTCCTTTTCATCGAGGGTGATGCCCTATTCACTGTCTATGCTTGCCGGGCTTTGAAGGCTTTGGCAAAGGCGGATCCAGACGGTGATGGGCAGTCAAGACTGTTAAGTGGCCTGTGGTTGGGTGTTCCCCTGCTTGGTAAACTGTCTCTTGCAGCTTGCACGAACACGGCAGCACTCGATTTGCTGCACTGCCTCTTCGAGGCAAAGTGCCCTGTAGCAAGGGCCGGCATTCGATGCGCTGCACGGTCCTTAGCACATGCCTTGGCAAGCGATGCTCTGCCAAACGAGCTTGACGATGACATCCACATGGCCTCATCCAGAGCTTCGTCGGACGTGCAAGACATGGAAGAGGTCCCAGGTTTCGCTGACGGACCTGCGCCGGAGGCAGATGACGGCGTTTTTGCCCAGGATCTTGCAGGCCATGAAGATGATCTGGTGCCATCTTGGGCAGAGTTTCACCACGAGCTTTTTCAGGAACTGGCGCCCCTGCTCCACTGTCAGACAGAAGTTTTCCTTTGTCCTAAGTCTTGATTCATTCCCGCAGACGGCATGGAGTGGTGTTACTCATATGCTGATGATGTGGATGTCGGGTTGTTTTTTTGGTTGGTGTGGGGTCGTTGGCTCCTGGATCTTTAATACTCCGATTCAGAGACTGTAATCTTTTGTCGCACGGAGCAGGATTTGCGCTAGCCGCCGCCAATCGTATCCGGCCGGTGCGATCCATTACGCATTCCAATGCTCCTAGTGATCCCAGCACGATTGTATATTCCAACACATGGGCTTCATGCTGCTCTCGAACTGCCTCGAATTGACGGGTCCCGGTGTGTCCAGTTCGTTCGGTCGGCCCAATCGTAAATTCCGCACCGCACGTCGGTTTCGAATTGACAACACTGGCGTTTGCGGGCACTGTCAAACGCGCCAAATGGCACTGCCCGCATGGTGCCGCGACGATGTTTGCCTTCAAACGTTTGAATCTCCCCCCGAACTGTGGGGAATTCGGATTGAACCCGCCGGACATTCGAGGGAAGTATAATTTCCGTCCTCCAATCAGCAGGATCCGTGGCGAATTCCAGCAGGTGGGCGCCGCACCTTTGGAATGGAAAGGACAACCCTCTCGGTGGCTGGAAGGGCGTGCCGCTACGATGCAGCTCCGGTAAGTGCGATCCATTGTAAATTCCAGTACAGACCGCGTACTGAGTGCGATGCATCGTAAATTCCCCTCCCTCTACACGAGCCGCATGTTGGCCTCGAAGTGATATCACCTCCTGCGAGCGCGTCCGCATGTTCCGGTACGCACGAACCATGGTAAACTTCGATGTATGGGTCGCACGCTGATCTCGAAATGACGACCCTCGGGGCGGACGTGGAGGGGGTTCCTGGTCACGTGCGTGCGGATTAGCAGTGCTTTCTCGAAATGGGTTTGTATCAGAGTTGATGGAGCGGTTTACAGAAGGGTTTATGGAATATATGGAATGCTGTTTTGGATGGATGAGTGGATGCAGGGCTGCGGGAGGTTAGTCGCTACTATAAGCGCTCTCATGACACTCGGTCTCGAGTTGCCGTCGCTTTCGTAAGGGTCCTAGAGTCCTAGGCCTAGGCCCCTGGGCAGTCCGAGGCTTGTCCCATAGTGGACAGTGTCCATGCACCGGAGCTTGTCACCCTTGCGAATTTTGAATCGAAGGCCAGCCTCCTGGCAGAGCAGGCAACTCTCCACTCCCTTGAAGCCGAGACAGAGGAGACAGAGGCAAGAGAGGATAGCTTTGCAGCCGTCCCGGCAGCCTGGAACCGAAATGTCCTAGCAGAGAGCTCAGCGAGAGACACACAGGAGACTGCTAAGCCCTCTGCCGGCTCTGTCTACGGCTCTCCACCAGGATGGCAGACAGTTTCTGCACAGAGACTGCTGCTTTTCCACGAGCTAGATGGCTTTCCCGTGGGTTCTGCTGAATACGTCCAGGATGGCCGGATGAAGGACAAGGCTGTCCTCATGTCCAGGCGATCGATCCGAACCAGCCACAAGGTTCACAACTGGGCACAGGCGGTGTCCTCCGCCGAGCAGGCGGGTGCATGCGCAGTCATTGTCTTCAACGACCTGGACGCTATGGAGCCCTTCCGGATGGGACTCTTCGGGGAAAAGCTGCCTTCCATACCCGCTTTCATGATCAGCGGGAAGGACGGAGCGACCCTGGGAACAAAGTCGCGGGACTCGGAGGTGCTCATTGTCAGGCCGGAATCAGCGACGAACATTCAACACGTCGTAATTAAGCAACATACCTGGCAGCTGAGCCATCAGGTCAGTCTTGACGTCTGCCACCTCTCCGTCTCCACCTCCATGGCCACTTGCAGGTGGACGCGTCGCGGACATTGCGCAGGCCCCGGCTGCGGACCAAATATGAGAGTCGGTCTCTAGTGGGATGTCTTCATATGCGAATTTCACAAGATAAAGGGGGCCCCCACTCGAGACCCGAACTGGATGCTTCAACAAAAAGAGCACCGAAAAGGAACCAATTTCCAAGAAATACCCATAATAACTTTAACTGCATGCACTGAGCTTCTGACAAGCGGTCTGTACTTCGAATCTCTTATCCCTGCTTAAGCCCACAAGCAAAGACGAAACTAAAGCTCCATTGGAGCCCTCTGGCCCTTGCCTCGCGAAGCGGTGTCCGATTGGCCCAAAAGGCTTGGAGTCTCTTGGAAGCCCTCTCGGCACATGGCGAACCCTCCGATGATCTGGAGAAGCTGCTTCAGCGAATGAGTGTGCCAGAAAAGCGAGTGTGGCTAACACGCCGGCTGGCAGCTTGGCAGTTACTACACATCAGGACAGCTAGCCAGTCCAAAATCAAAGCCAAAGCCTACAAGAGGGACCTCGGCAATGTGTCGTCAGCATGCAGAAATGCAAAACCGACTGAAGACTCTTGAAGTGATTTAGGTACGTCATCACAGGGCCCAGCAGGCGTCGTCAGCAGACGGAGACCTTGCTGAGCTACCCTTGGCCGGCACCTAAGTGTGAATCGTGTCCAGAGTTTTGCTGAGGGAATGCTTCGAGCCTTCCTTCCTTCAGAGGCCTTCGTGGAGAGCGACCGATGGCTTTCAGCCGAGAAGCAGCTCGAAGCGCTCCGCCAGCAGTTTGCGGAGCAGACCGGGATAGGCAGCGTTGACGTTTGTGGCGAGTTCGAAGTGCGCTTCCGAAGCGAACAAGGAGTCGGTAGTGCTGTGGTGCGGGAGTGGATGGACCTCGTGGCAAGAGATGTTTATCTCCAGCCCAGATTGAGGTTGCTGAGAAGTTATGACCAACGACAGACATTTTGGCCAGATGCTGCAGCCCCATTCCTGAACAGAGCTTGGCAGATGGACTTTGAAATCCTTGGATGTTTAGTCGGCCTTGCACTGTGGCAAAACTGCACGCTTGACCTTCCGCTTCATCCCCATGTCTGCGCCTTGCTTTTCGGTTTCCCGTCCGACCGATTAACGGCTACACTGGCCGACATGGACGACGAGCTGTTCCGTCACAAAGTGCAATGGCTTCTTGCCAATCCAATCAACCAGCTCGGTATAGATCTAGCCTTCTCAGACCCGCTCGGAGCGGAGGAAGCAGAAGGCGTGGATGGAGCTGGAAACACGGATAAGGTTGCGGAGGTTGACGGTCCACCAGCACTGCCACCACTGGTCTTTCCCAACCAGCGCCTGGCCGGAGACGATCGGACTTGTGAGGTGCAGCCTTTTCCCAAAGTTGGATCAGCTGAAGTGGCTCTGCGGGAGGATGCCGATGTGGTCACGGACGAAAACAAACAGACCTTTGTAAAGTTGCTGCAGGACTGGCGGCTGCAGAAGGGCATCACACCGCAGGTTCAGGCAATGGCAAGGGGCCTGAGCAAGGTTCTTCAAAGAAGTTAGAAAGCTGTCTAATGCCTTCAAAAACCATATATCCCTTTGGCAGAGACGCACGCCTCACTGCAGCCAAGGTTCTTCCAGAAGAGCTTCGGCACGAGATGCATAGCTTGCTGACGCCGGTTGAAATAGCACAGCTGCTTTCCGGCTTGGGTGGTGCGCTCTCTGTAGACGACTGGGAGCAGCACACTTCCTACACCCATGGCCTAAGCCAAAACAGCGTCGTCGTAATGTGGTTCTGGCGAGTCGTGAGGGCCTGGGCGGCTTCTGAAGAGGACTTGCTGCCCCAGCTCCTTCAATTTGTGACCGGAAGCGCACGAGTTCCCGTAGGCGGTTTCAGCGAGCTGGTGGGTTTCAATGGCGCGAAGCATGCATTCACGCTCTGTGGCGCCAACCACCTTTCGAAGCAGGCATTACCCGTGGCTCACACCTGCATCTGCACGTTGGACATGCCATTCTACGAAGACTTCGAGACATGCCGCTACAAAATGACCCAGATGCTACGCCTGGGAAGGGCTCACTTCGATGAAGGGGCCGGCCAGCCGGAAGGGGCAGAGTGAGTTTCACCGAACATGTCGTGTCGCAGGATTTTCCCAACACTGCGTGCCTCCAAAGTTTCCAGCAGTCAAGCTCGTCTTTTGGCACTCATGATCATTGGCGCCATCCCATTGGTATACATGCCTTAGCATGCATGGCCCCATCAGTTTTCAGGAGCAGAGTGCACATGCAGAGCCTGGCACCGATCTTCTCACCCTTTCGATGGTGTGGGCTGCGCCCATCCCATCGGACAAGTGAAGTTCGGAGCAGCATTGCGGAGCCTCAAAGTGCATTGAGAAGACCGCACAGGAAAAAAGCGACCATCTGCAAGCTCCAACAAGTTCCCGAATGTTCGATAAACATGCTACGTGCAGGTGTACGGTAAACCGCGTGACGGCTACGGCTACGGCAGGAGTATCGTAGACCTTTCAGACGGGCTGCAGCAATCTACAGCCACCGTGTCTTCTATCCGACAGACAGTGAAGAGTAATTGTACTAGTGTGCAGTTTAGTGGACAAGGCTGCTGCACATACTCCTCGAAAACAGTGCACGGACGGCAGCACTGCCATCTGAGGACCAGTCCAGGTAGCAGTTGCAGTGCCCAAGTCTTCGAAGGACTATAAGTCTACTGCTTGCTGCGACGTGGTTTCGTCCAGGGATGACGTACCATAGTTTCATGTTAATGTGGGAGCAGGGTCGTTGGCGGACGAGCACCGAAGGGAGGCACGCCATTAGAAGCTTCTGCAATGCGAGGCATTTGCAAGCCCGTCTCTGAGATTCTGCACATCAGCACATGCGGCAGGGGATGGCTGTTTTTGCAGTGCCAGGACCGCCTCATTCATCTGCTCCGGCACGCATCCGAGGTTTTCATACTGGGGCACTCTTTGCACTTGCGGCTCGAGCTCTCATCTCAGAGCCACTACTTAACATTGATTCATGTTTCTGCGCTTTAGTTCTTGTGGAGATCGAATCTGGATTGAGGCAGCTGCCCATGGAACGTGTTCTGCAGGAGGCGGTTTGGCAAAAGCACCAGCACCCCACATAATACTGGTATAACATAACTGTACTATACCACGTGCCTCAAAAATCTCTTCTAATTGCCAAGCCCCCCACATTGCTCACATCGGCTACAGACTTGGAGGTTGCCGAGATGGAGAACCTGGAGCAGCGGTTCTCCGTGAACGATCAGGTCTCCTGGCAGGGTTCATCAGAAATACTTGCAGCATAGTTCTACGACGTCAGATAGCTGGGAAACAGACAAACCCAAAGCCCTCTTCGAGTTGTTCGGGCTCGTATCATTTTCTATGTGGCTGCAATCTTGACTGGTGTTTCTTCGACTGCCATGCAAGGCCATCAATGAGCTTGTGGATGCCTTGCTTGAGGAACCAGAAGTCCAGGCAATACTGGTGCCAGATCTGGTAGAAGCAGAGGTGTACCGATATGCGCTGCACCGCATTCTCTGCATTGCGCAGTTTATGCTGTCGCAGCTGCAGATACGCTTGTTTGGAACTCAAGTGCGTCTGGGCCTCTTTGCAGACCACTCCCAATCTCCGGGAGCAGATAAGAAGGCCGAAGACGGACTCCCTCTGATTGCCGTAAGAGAGAAGGACGTGCAATCTGTCTTGGCGCGTATAGAGGATGAACAGCTCCGCATAGAGAGGGAGCTCGGATTGCGGCGTGGTGATGTGCACTTGAGGCGGAGCTCCTTGGACGGCCCTGCACTGATGACACACGTGGACCTTGGCGAGACCGAAGACGTCCACGAGTTTACGACAATGGCTGCACAGGATCGATTATCTCGCAGTTTGGCAATCCAGCGAAATGTTTCCGTGCCGATCGAGATTGCTTTTCAGATGGTCTCAGACGTAAATGCTTATCCCCAGTGGATGCCATTTTGCACCTCGGCCTTCGTGACCTCCAAAGAAGAGGCAGAAGGACCGGGAGGTTCCCCTCGCAGCGCGAAGCTGAAGTGTGACGTGGGCTTCGGCCTCGATACTGGAACTGCACTGGGTGCTGTTGGTGACACGATTAAATACCAGGTTAGCCTGCTTCCGCCCACGAGCGACACTGCTGCAATTACACAAGTCTATCACCAAGAACCGGGCGACGTGCGCCGGGTCGCCCGAGTAGTGGCTGACACCGTGGACGGTTTCCGCTATGGCAGACGACTTGTTTATGCCAGACCCTCAGACACTGTCGAACTCCTGCAAGACATCATAGAGGGAGATGAAAATTGCATGCAACGTGTTTAGTCAAGCTGAGGATTGGAGGTTCATCGAGTTTGCGCGCGGACATACAGATGTCAGACTGGACATGTTCTTTCAGGCCAATGCCTCAAGACACACAGCAGGTTGCAAGGGCAGGCGCCTCTGCTGCAAGGCGCGCAACTTCTTCTTCCTCCCAATTTGGGACAGCATGCAGGTGGGGCTTTGAGATGCGTTGACGTATGCCTTTCACAGAGCAGAACTCATTGTCTGGTGGAGCCGCCTTTTCCACAGCCCCCTTTACCTGAGACTGCCGTCGAGGCCAGCATAACATCAGTGATGATGCGGGAGTTCCAGAAGCGAGCTGTCGGACGCCTACGGCTTTGGATGGTTCTGGATGCTAATGGTGCCATTCCGTATTCATGTCGGGTTCGCTTCCTGTGTCCTGAGGTGCAACTACAGAGCTCAAGGACCTCGCCTCCATCAGGCGTTTCTTCCCGGAAGTCACTTCCGAGCTGCCTAATCTCAGAATCGGTTCGAGTTGACCCCTTGATGGGCACAGAGGTAGTAGAGTGGTGTCTTGGTTTGTATACCGCAAACGGTGACACTGCACACGAAGTCCCTGAAGTGAGATGTTCACGGCTGGGAAGAAAGCTAGCAGCTAGCATCAATGGCAGGTGACAGACGCCATCAGTGAATGGAAGGAGTCTAAGGTTTCGCAGACTCCAAATCATTTAATCGCGTGAGCCCTGCCAACCGTCCGAAATGGGGTTGGCATGGCGAGACCGCAAGGAGGGTCTTGGCCCTTGCCAGTGAAGATTACATTTAAGAATCTTTACTGATGTTTAAACTTTAATTGCAGTGGTCGGAGCCCCGGGACGAAGAAGGGTTAGAGGAATCAGATGTGAGCTCGTCCACTGCAGCGTTTCATCTCCTGATGCATCCGTACGAGTAAAGTAAAAGGAGCAGGCGACGAAGCGAGTAGGGATGTGCCCAAAGTACTGCAGTAACGCCTAAAGTAGTAGCAGCAAGCAGGTCTCGGCAATAGTAAGTCGCGTGTGAGCATCACTTGAGCATGGAGCTTCAGCGTCTCGTAGCGTAGACCAGGTGCTGGAGAGCGGAGAGTGCCTCTCCTTTCGATTCAAGGCAGGACATGAATAGGGGTACAAGCCTTATTCCTCAACTTCGCGCGGTTCCGTCAACCAAGATTCCGTCAACCGCGCTTCCTTCAACCATGTTCCCCGCTTCCCTCAACTCAGATCGTGCCGATTCTTTCAACCCGCATCGCCCGCTTCCCTCAACTCCCGAGTCTGTCAACCCCCATTGCCCGCTTCCATCAACTGCTCATTCCGTCAACTCCGCCCCCCCCCGCTTCCGTCAACACTACACTGCAATCTAAGCATTTCGCCCGCTCTTTTGCCAGTCTCGCATTGACAAATAGGGCAGACGTAAGTTAGTTTAAACATTTGTAGGTTTTATTTAGTTTAACACAGGAAAGCAAACTTTCGCAGTCTTTAGTTTGAACACAGAAAAACACATTTTCGGAGTCGCGCTTAGGCACCAGTTAGTTTAGACATGGAAAACAAACCGTTTATAGGGTTCATTTACTTGAAACACAAAAAAAACAAACCTTCGGAGTCCCGGGTAGGCGCAGGTTAGTTTAGACATGGAAAACAAACCTTTTGTGGCGTTTATTTAGTTTAAACACAGAAAAACACATTTTCGACGTCCCGGGTAGGCACCGGTTAAATTAAACATCGAAAACAAACCTTTTGTAGGGGTTATTTAGTTTGAACACAGAAAAACAAACTTTCGGAGTCCCGGGTAGGCGCAGGTTGGTTTAGGCATGGAAAACAAACCTTTTGTAGGGTTTATTCAGTTTAAACACAGAAAAACAAACTTTCGGAGTCCCGGGTAGGCGCAAGCGAGTTTAGACATTGAATTCAAACATTGGGTTTATTTAGTTTAAACACAGAAAAACCAACTTTCGGAGTCCCGGGTAGGCGCAAGTTAGTTTAGACATGGAAAACAATCCCTTCATAGGTTGTATTTAGTTTAAACACAGAAAACAAACTTTCGTAGTCTTGTTTAAAGACAGAAAAAACAAACTTTCCGAGTCCCGGGTAGGCACAATTCGTATGGCTTCTTTTTCTGTGTTGGAAATTTGTGTCGTTTTCGCTTTATATCATCTTGGTTGTCTTAGCTTTTTACCTTTCTAAAGCGATTTCGTATGGCTTCTCCGTTGTACTTCATTTACCTTTTTCTTCGCTCTTGACCCCCCTGAAGCGAGTTCGTGTAGCCTCTTCGTTCGTGTTGGAAAAGACGTTTTTGTGTACTCTTCAGCTATACAGTATTTACTTTCTTTTCTTCGCTTTTAACCCCTTGAATTTAGTTCGTGCAGCTCTCCTTCTTATTCTTGTAGGAAAGACAAGCTCCACTTTTCTTCTCTTTTTGCCTTCCTAAAGGGATTTCGTGTGGCTTCTTCCTTGACGCTGATGAAATGTTTGTGCTTAGTTTTCGGTTGTACCTCATGTACTTTCTTCTTCGCTCTTAACCCCCCTGCAGCGATTTCGGGTAGCCTCTTCGTTCTTCAACCCCCTGAAACGATTTCGTGCGGCTCGTCTTCTTCTTGTAGGAAAGACGAGCTTCACTTTTCCTCTACCTTTCTAAAGCAATTTCGTGTGGCTTCTTCCTTCATGTTGATGAAATGTTTTGCTTTAATTTTCGGTTGTACCTCATTTGCTTTTTTCTTCGCTCTTCACGCCCCTGGAGCGATTTGGTGTGGCCTCTTCGATCGTGTTGGAAAAGACGTTCGCTTC